TTTGAATCAAGTTCTTCAAAGGGAAAAAGAAAAAAAATATAACTACGAGGGACGATCAGAAAATTCCGCAAGTATATCAAAATAAATAAATAAATAAATAAAATAAAAAGAACAATAGGTATCAAAATGTAAACTAGTTTAATCCTTCAAAGTAACCCCCTTTCACATTCACACACTTTTGCAATCTGCATACCCATGATTTGAAAGCCCCTAGGTAGTCCTCCCTTGGAATACTGTCTAAGCACTGATAAACAGCACTACCAACTGCACTGCGCGAAGTAAATCGGCGTCCAGGAAACATCTTTTTAAGTCTAGGAAATAGAAAAAAGTCACAGGGACTAAGGTCGGGAGAATATGGGAGGATGGGGAAGCTGAACAATCTTTTCATCCTTCAAAAAACTTTGAACTATTTTACTCTTATGAGCTGGGGCATTGTCATGAATGAGCTTGATGTTCTTCAAACCTGACTTTGGTCTTTTCTTTTCATAAGCTTTTTTAATTTTTTTCAGTACATTATTTTTGTAAAAATGTCCAGAGATACCTCGACCTTGCGGAGTTGGAATTTGCACAACTGGGCCACTAGAATTAAAGAAAATAGCATGCAAAATTTTCTTAGCACTCTGACACCTTTTCGCAATGACAGGACGCTCACTATTCTTTTTAACCCACATCATATTGTTAATTTTTCTGTGCGGTTCAAAAAAGTATATCCAAGTTTCGTCACCTGTTAGCAAGTCAGCAAACTTTCTCCTGTCACAGTTTTGATATATTTTTAAAAGTTTTCTGGCAAATTTTAAACGCGTTGACTTGTGTTCTGGTGTCAAGAGATGCGGTGTCCATCGTGCACATATTTTACGTAGGTTGAGGTGCTTTGTCAAAATTTCATGTACTTTTGCTGATGAGATCCCAACAACACTAGCGATATATCTTAAAGTATATCTTTCATCCTTCTCTACCATTTGTTTAACTGCAGCCACGTTTCCATCAGTAACAGCTGTCTTTGGTCGCCCTGGCCTTGAGGAATCTTTAACGACCTCTACGCCATTCTTGAACTCTTCAACCAGCGACAAACTGTGCTTAATGAAACGGAAGAATCTCCATAAATCTGACAAATTTCATTTAAAATGACTTTTGCAGGTATATCAAGAATGCCTCTCACTTTTATATAGGTCCTTATTTCAGCCTTCACTGTAGGTTTCATATCACTGGGAGAAAATGGTCAGTATGTACGACTACCCCTCCTTCTTTTGTATATATCTATTGAAACCGTGAATAAAACAAAGAGAAATTTTAGACAGATACAGGTTATGAATGTATCTACCCGTGCGTGACATTGATATTGGTCATCTACTAAGGAAACCTATGGAATAACATTACGTGCATTATTTTCTGATCGCCCCTCGATAAAACAAACAATACAAGAAATACTGCTTCTGCAAGCCGAAGCATAAGCATGACTCCTCCATCCCAGCGGTGACCGTCACGGTAGCTCAGTCGGTAGTGCACTCGCTCCGTGATGGGAAGGTCGTGAGTTCGCATTTCGGCCGCGACTGACCTAAGTAGATAAAAAAATAGGTAGCAACTGTTTCTTCGCCATGCGCCTGGCATTTTGAAAAAGTTGCGGGTCCTTCGGATGACACCTTAAAAACCGATGCCCCGTATCACGGCAGGCGTTGGCACGATAAGATCCCTCATTGCTCAATGACCCTGAGTGCCGAGTAAAGGTCTAAATTTGAAGCCCTTCACCGGTTTCTGGTGACGTCTCTATATGAGTGAAAAATTGTCGAATGGGACGAAAAACAACATACAATCAATCAATCCATCCCAGTGGTGTTATGTTGGATTTGAAAGCAGATAGCAAATACTCTCTTAAAGTTTTGCAAAATTTCAAAATTTTAGAAATAAATGACTCATTTTTAGTTCCATGGCAACTGCAGCAATTTTGGATATTAAAACACCAGAAACTTAGAGAAATACTCACATATCAATAATATGTAAATGTAGTTTGAAATACAGTTGGAGAAAAATCATTTTAAAGTAAAAATTCCTTTTTGTTTCCATGGATCCAGTTAAAAATGTGTCCAACCGATTAAACTGTATTTGTTTTTCAGAAACCAGTTTTGACCAAATGAAAAAAAAGAAGATTTTAATGCTTAAAAAGAATTTGTTGAGCAGTTACTGAGAAAAAATGATATTTAAAATTCTAATTTTTCATACTTCCTATGTGTCATTGGAACTGGTCACCATTTGAAGAAGGAACACATGTAACAATGTGTCGTTCCTCCCCCCTCATATATAAGTATAGTCATGATATTCATTGGAGAGGAATTGGATCTGGAGGAAATCGTTCTCTATAACTATAACGCAGAGTAGGATCCCCCCCCCCCCCCCCCGAAAATTGAATCTGATGTTTGAATTTCGTGCATGGGGGAAATCCTACTCTAGAGTTATTTTTCCGGAGGGAAATCCTACTCTTATGCCAGTTTTACGGGGGGAAAGATTTTAGGAGGGAGAGCCTACTCTACAAGACCGGAAATCCAAATCAATATAAAAAAAATCACTTCTTGGTATTTTTCTACATTTAAAATGATACCAAAAGGAAATATTTAAAATATTATATGGGGAAGGCTACCTGACACAAAGAAAATGTAGGCGTCAGTCTGATGCTATATTATTTCATTCATAAAGGCAAATGATATCCACGTGACAATGAACAATATCTTGATATGTTATCTTTCAATAAATTTTACATTGAATATATATGAAAAAAAAAGTTCTTCTCTGCCTATTCGTATGTGTCATGGTCCTCGTAAATATTCCGATTTCTAATCAGATATTAGGCTGAGTTGATAATAATTAAATTGCTCATTACGTGATAGTCCTCCTTATCTTTTTTAGATGCTTTAAAATTAACTGTAGGTGTAAATCATACGTTAATTAACAAAATTTCACTGCAAATTGATTATAATATAAATCAGCAGTCAAGGTTCTCAGTGGGAGTAAAGTCAGGAGACATGCTAACTATCTAGACATGAGTTTAGGTAAAACCAGTTTTATTTTCAGTGTGAAACATAGGTGAGGATTACGTGAGCTCACTCAAGTGGGATTTAAACCCAGTTTACCTGACTCGGGCTTACTTAATCAACCTAGCTACCTAAGAGATAGGTGTTAATACGGGCAAATGAGTTACAGTCTTAATGAAAGACAGTTAAACTTCATCTATTTGCACTTAGAAAAAAGGATATTGATTTAAAATACTGCGTTTAAAATATTATAAACATGACCAATTCCTTTTAATGTAAATATATATTCAATGACAGTATTAATCATAATTAATAGTTTTGTTCAGAATATTTTTTCTGATATCTGAACAAATAGTTGTGAATGACAGGTTACTTAATTTGAGGACAAGTTAAGAAGCCACTAAAAATAAAGATAAGCAATTTGTATTTCTTGTTTAAAATCTTTCTGTACAAAAAAAAGTTCCCAAGAAAACTCTTAAAATGCGTTCGACTTCCTGTCTTTAAATTGCATTATGTTTGATTGTATATATACGATGTGATACAAATATGAAGATAAATATTAAAGGGGCTGGGACACAGATTTGAAGCTCATATTTTCTAACATTTTTTAAAAATAATATTATGACTTAAATATATATGTTGCTAGAGCATTTCACATCGAAATATATTAAAAGCTAGTTTAGAAACTTCTTTTATCTGAAGATTATTAAAACTACGAATTTTGGGACGCGTTTGTTTGACACAAATCCTTGCACTTTCACAAAGTAAATCTATCTATAACACATAAGAAAAGTAGAAAGTTTGTTGTGTATTAGTGAAAAATATGAAAGTTATAATCCAGAAAGTTCAGAGTAGAAATGTGAGAAAGCAAAACCAACTCGCCAGTGTTGTCAGTCTGTGCTCAGTGATATGAAAAGTCTAAAGAAATTGAACATACCCGGTAAAACTTAAATGCTTACAATAACAGAGCTCGTGCCCTGTGTACAAACACAGGTGTTTGATGACGTGTTGTTATGAAGAATGTCGTTGTCATTAAATTCTTAGAATATTTATGTAAGTTCAAATCATTGAACTGAAGTTTTTTTTTTTTTAAAGAATAGACATTTAAAATTGTAAACAATGCAACTGTGTCCAAACTTTCTCTGTCCAAACTTTAAACACAAATGAATGCTATGATAATCACTTTCAAATCCAAATGCTTTTTAGGGGCGTACGTTTTATCCCTCAGTTCAGCATGTCGTCACTGAGTTTTTTTGATGGAAAAAGTAGATCCCTATCGAGTAATGGATATCAAACATTTACAACTGTACATTGCTCATTATTACATGTACTGTCAAAATTGCCTTGATGACAACACATAGATAAAAAATACCTATCATTATCATTTCAAATTTAAAGGACACAAAAGTAAAGGAGCTTGTAAAGGACTGCAATCAGTGAGGTAATTTTTGTACTCAGAAAAGTGTTTGATTCAGTCCTTGATTTAAGTGATTGTATTATTTTTTAACATTAAAATTAAGAAAAAACAAACAAACAAAAAAAAAAAAAAAAAAAAAAAAAAAAAAAAAAAAAAACACCCAAATTTTTACTGAGTAAATGAACACTGGAGTAATGTAACTGAAAATATATACTACAAACAGGGCTGTGGTAGATTCTATTAATTCTCATGAGTTTGACAATGTTTTATTTTTTCTTTTCTAAATATTTCGTAGACTTTTATGAACAGGTTGAAGTGTATGCCATATTTTTCAAAGGAAATGGTTGGTTTCCAAGAAAATCTGTTGCTTCTATGTGTTTTAATTCCTGGTCAATGCTATATTCTGAGAGGTAAGTCATTTATATTAATTATTGCCTAATGTCAATTTTACTATATAAGAAGAAAAAAAAATCATGATTAATAACAATTGATAAATATATATATTTTTTAATCCATAACACAACAATGATCTGCGAGAACTGTAATCGATGTGTTTATATGGTTTTAGAAATGCCGAGCTTCCCTAGGTTTGGAGAAAATAAAAAAGATTACAACGATACAGGTATGCTATGGGTCATGGCTACGTTAACTAGAGTGTTCCAAGGAAATGCAAGCGTCGCTTGCTTTATGCCATTATTAAAGACGTAAATCAAGTTCATGCATTTGCCTGGAAAGAAAAAAAAACACGGTTAGAAGGACTGCGATAAAACGACAATTATCAAATAAAATGTGACATTTTAATAAAAATAGTATTCCCCAACTCTCAAAGCTAAAATGAATAATGAAATTGAGATCATCAGAAATAATTATTTATCATTTTTTATACGTGTTTAATCCAACAATACCCCTGTTAAGTGTCTAGAGAGAGATTTCAGTCTGTCTTTACTGCAATTATCAGTCTACAACTTTATTCGAAGTGCGATCCATTTTTGGTAGCTGGTCCCGATGCATTTTCAAAGTATGGTTACTGTATATTATACAGTTTCAAAGAACATTGACATGAGTTCATAAACATGCAATATATATGCTAGTTATCGAAATTCTGTATTCAGAATTCAAAAGACAAATTTTAAATTCACGGTTCGAAATATTTTTACAAAGGAGTCAAAGGTCAAGTTCAAGTGAACTGTCACTCTGGTAAATTTTATAGTATCTTATGACAAACAGTGCACAGACTTACCTCTTGTCAAAAATACGCTGTTTAATGCTTTAGAAACTATTTTGGAAAGAAAGTCTAAGATCAAGTTCAAAGATCACGAGGTAGGTAGCCCTGGTATTTTACAACAACCATAGTACCAAGCTAGATACATGCAAAATATCAAATCCATAATTCTTACAATTCTCAAGATAGAAGGTGTGACAGACGGACAGGCGGACGGACAAAGGGACAGTCAGACAGCTAGACGTCGCGTAAAGTGATCCATGATTGTCGCTAGAGCTCTGCAAATGAAACAAGATTAGTGAATTTTCTGTGATCGTTCAAAAAATACTCGTTAGTACTGTTCATTATGTTTCAAAAACCATATGTTAGATCAATACTTCTAAGACACATACAACCCACCCACCCACCCCCACACTCACAGATATATAATCTGTACTCTAGAGTAGCCACCCACCCACCTCCGAAACTGTACTCTAGAGTAGGATTTCCCCTTTTCATCAATGCTTAAATCATATCAACTGAATCACACTGAATTGTCTACAGATTTTTCCGATTCTCAGGACAAGGAGCACACGGCGGGTGTGACCGGTCGGCAGGGGATGCTAGCTCACTCCTCCATGGCACCTGATCCCACCCCTGATGTTTTTGGAGGTCCGTGTTTGCTCTGCTCCCGATTTGTATTATTCAAATGGAATTTGAGCTTGAAAACAGTTCTTTATCTCCATATTTCTTCTTATCAACAATATTTTGGCTGAAAGTTTATATGAAAGTCAGCTGATTTTTTTATGGAAATATGAGTGTTTTCGACTCAAGAATTGTCGAATTTAGTATGAAATCTTAAAATATATAGTTCAAATCATTGCGTCTCAACCCAAAATTTTAACTGATAGGAAACTAAAAAATCAGTCAATGAGATTCAGAATTTTCAATTTTTATATTTCGTATGTTTCAGTGGAACTGGTCGCCATTTTGAAGAAGGGACACTTCTAAAAATTCCACCTCCCATACATAAGTAAAACCAAGATATTTTATAGGGGAAATTGGCTCTGGGGAAAATTGCTCTTTAAAACTATTACACAGAGTAGGATTCCCCCCAGAAAATAGAATCTGATGTTGGATTTTCATATGGGAAATCCTACTCTGGAGACATTTTTCCGTGGGGGCAATCATACTCTAGAGCAAGTTTTCCGGGAGGGGGGAGATTTTAGAGGGGAAAGCCTACTCTACCAGACCGGTAACATCAGTAGTTGTTGGTATTTTCTTGTCGTCTTTTAAGAACTTCTTGATTGTACATCTAATCTCTGTTCTCTATCTCGTCATTGAACATTCCTCTTTTGTTTTTTAAATCCTTTGGGGATTAAGTTGATTTTGTCGGCTGGCTCTTTACGGTATAAGATGAATACATATACTGATTTTTCTTGTTTCTAGCTGTAAAGTGACTTAACCAGGCCTTCTTCAAATAACTAATTTAGACAAATTCAATTTATAAATCTATTACAAAGAAAAAAAAAACGAGATGAAAAGTATTTACAGTTGCTCACTCACTCCTGTCCGTTTATACCATCTACGATCATCTAGATCAATACATATGGCTCATGGCGGGTGTGACCGGTCGACAGGGGATTCTTACTCCTCCTAGGCACCTGATCCCTCCTCTGGTGTTTCCAGGGGTCCGTGTTTTTTGCCCCCTGTTTACGATTTGTTTTGTTTATTAAATTTATGAGAGTGATCATTGATCGTTATCATCACCTTTTACATTATCTATTATTCTCTCTTTTGGTATTTTTCAACAGCTTAGTATGTTGCTGATGTTGCACTTTTCTCTGATGGTGACGGTAACATATGATACCTTGTGTTTGTCCGAGACTACATGTATGAAAAGGATTTTTTTCTAAGAAAGCAAATTATCAGCACGGATTGACTTTGTTATATTACTGTAAATGGTTTTGGTCCAATTTTCATTAGCTCAAGGAGTGCAGTAGCCCATTGTTTGAATGGACTGTTAAGCTTGAATACTGTTTGTAATCTTCATATACACTGAAATTTTATACATCGTGGTCGAAGGTTTCGCTCCTTTTCTGAGACCTAATCTAAGTTTTATTTCCTCTGACACCTCTGAATTCTATTTCACTTGAGCCCTAGTGTAGCAGCGACATGTTTCCTATAACTCTGTCTCACAGGCACTTGGGGGTTAGACCCCCCACCTCACCCATCTTTCCATTTCTTTCTTTCTTTTTATTCTTGGGTCGACACACCTTTTTCCTATTTTTGAACTCTAATATGCACTACCTGATGTCGATAATGTAACCCTTTTGTCTCAATAAGCGGTTTTGTTTTTAAATATATCGTTTTCGACTGATACATAAAAAGAGTGTGTTTCAGTCGAAAACGAGATATTTAAAAACAGCTTATTGAGACAAAAGGGTTACATTATCGATATCAGGTAGTCCATATTAAATTTCAAAAATAGGAAAAAGGTGTGTCGACCCAAGATTTTTTTTTAAAAAATGGAAAGGGGGGGGGGGGGTTCCAGTCCCCAAATGCCTGTGCTCTCTCTAGGTATATCAACATACCATACAACATCGAAGTATATTTCTGCATCCAAGTTTCTAAAATAAATGCTTTCACTATGTCCCTTCAAAAAGTTAAAGAATACTTTTTGGTATCCTTCGCGAACAAAAAAGTTCAATAAAAAATAACAGACCAAGTGTTCCCATCGGCTTAAAAATAACATGTATTGCCTCTGTTCTGTCTATCTAAAGATATATCAAAATTCCTACTGATTATGACTGTCTGCAATGAAATACTCACTTCATTCACATAATTGTCTATACAAAATATCAATTATTTTATTTTGAATTGTTAACAGCTCTGATTTCCGCAGGTTGCAACATATCAGCTGGATGGAATCTGACCGGGAGAGATTGGGGTTGCTGTGGAAGCTATGAAGGTTGCTGTAAAATGGCGTCCAAGCTGTGTTATTTTCATGATAGTATCTGTCAGTGTTGTCGATTTGGTTGGTATATTTGTGGACCCGAATGTAAACCAGACATAGAATGTTTCTCAACAATAAAGGTATTTTGCAATGAGTTTAAACGGAAAAGCATTTCAACATTAGATTTAATACAATTTACACATGAAGTGTTTCAAAATAAAGAATAACAAAGAGGCGATCCTACTATAAAAAGTATAGCATAGCGGTAGGAAACGGGAGGGGGGGGGGGCGCCCCCCAAATTTTGCATATATATAGAGTATTATAGAAAACATAGCTACTACATGCTTATGCCCTCTCAAAATAACGTCTGATGACCTTTTTTTCGCTTGTCAAGGAATTTTGATGGTTGATAGTACCTCCCCAACTGAAAATGTTTGTTTGTGCCCCCTCAAAGTGAAGTTGCATCCTACGGGCCTGTATAGCTTGAAGTCTTCAAGTAAATTCGATTGCTGCTACCGTGTGCGGTTTACTATTCCCCCAAAATTAACTTTATCCTATCTCTGATAAAAAAATTGAACTTTCATTAGTCGAGAAGAATACTGTATTAAATCATATTATGCTGCCTACAAACATTATATTGTTATTGTGCCCCTCCACGTGACATTCTGTCCAGATCATATTAATATGTTGTTGAACACGCAAGGAGCCAATAAATGAGTAGCATAAGCATCACACGACATCACAATTGTTAGGGAACGGTTTGCTTAACTCAGAGAAAATGAACTTTATTGAAAAATCTTCGACAGGATAAATTTGTTATGTAATACGGAAAAATATGGTTTACGCCTCGCCCAGTTTCACGGTGTAGTACCTAAACGGTTGCTATCGGAAAAAATACCCGTACATTACTGCTATCCGAAAATTGTGCGCGGTTGCTATTGGGAAAAATGGACGAAATGGTAAGTATTTTTCTTCGCCGGCTCAACAAAATGGTCAATAATTCAATTATTGACGTTTAGTTGCTTAGTATGAAGTATATGGAGATAACGAACAGTATTCAGGCTCAAAAGTCCACCAAACAATACAAAATAGGAGCAGAGCAAACACTGACCTCCAAACATCAGAGGTGGGATCAGGTGCCATGGAGGAGTGAGCATCCCCTGCAGACCGGTCACACCCGCCGTGTGCCCCTTGTCATGATCGAGAAATAACGGATAAATCCGTCGACAATTCAATGTGTAAATAATGGCCTAACAATTTGTATGATAAACGTCAGTCAGCATATGACTCAATGATAAATTGTATTTCCTGACAAAGTCATTGTATCGACCATAGAACTTACGAAATGATGACTTTAAACGAGACAGCTGATATTCTTGTTTCATCACCTTGTTTGTCAATAATTTACCTCGTTTTAGAAATTGTACATGCGTAGAGCATGCTCTTACGTATCGAATCAACTGAGAGATATATACCCCGTATGCAGGTGATGAAGGTATATTGCTGCATAGGTAAGGGAAGTTGACGATTGAAAAGTTAAAATCATCACGTTTATCATAAAGCTTGGTTGTTAGATTACCATTTCACCTTTACGGAACGTAACATACCTTTTAAAACTAACATATATCTCTAAATTTTTTAAGAATAAAAGGATTGTTGAGGTATAGGACGCAAACTATCGAAAGCCTCGAGCACATTTACATACACATAAGAAAATATATCCAATTAGCGTCGAAATGTTCAAATATTTGATAAAAATGAATCGACAGATCTGTGCAGATTTGTAAAAAGTATTGATTATTTTATCTATTATACAATAGTTTAGAAAACTATATTTGAAATGTTCATTCTATTTTCTTTTTTATACTTGACTTGTTTATATTACCTGGCTTGCTTTCGATCATTTATAATGACAATTTTGTTTATTTCTATATCTATACGTATATGAAATGACTAAATATAATAGACTGAATTGTTTGTAAATACCCTGTACATTTACTAAGTATCCTGCACACAATAAAATTGTTAGCCATTAACTTATGTGCACCTTCTATTGAATTTATTAGATTTCACCTGGGTACTTACGCCAAATTCATAAATAAATGACCTCTCATGGTTTTTTTGGTTGGATATAAACTTTTATACAATGAGCACTGGTAAATAGTTTCTTTAGAATGGACCTGCTCCAAACATTAAAAGCCAGATCATACAATATGGTCAAACATTCCCAATGTCCAAAAAATATGTACATGCATTGAAAATGAGAACGAAAGTAGAATTGCACGCAATTACCCCCCCCCCCCCCCTTTCTTTCTATTTCAAAAAAAGACTACATACCGGTATGTCTGTTAATAATTGTAATGATCTTTCCTTTAAATGTACATATACATGTATATTACTCACTGGATAGAATATTAGTCTTTTTCGTATTCGAATCTACAAAATGGGGAAGGGGGGCACTCAAAAGAGACAAAGAGAGAAATAAAAGTACATTTAAGAACATTAGCAAGCAAAAAAGTGGAATACTTCTCCAATTAACTGAAAAAAAACTCTTTCTTTCCTAGCCGGGGGGGGGGGGTCTCTTCTGTCTGTATAAATTTAATAATTTAAGTAATCCAAAAGGGAAATCGGACATCCATTCATCCTCTCCATTCAAGGTCCCATGTTTTGAATATTGTGTGTTAAATTTTTTTTCTGAAGCTAGAGCATACCAATGCACTATCGTCAAAGGTTATACTAAAAATTTTCTAGATATTATTTAGGTCTAAGTATACAAGTAGGCTTCAAAAATCCCAAAAGACTCTAGCTTTGCAAAAGTTTTGAAGTAATGATGGAAACACTTTTATTTAATTTAAAATAATTTAAGTTTCCTTCGTATAGTTTTCTTTTTGATTTTTTGATGCCTTTCGAAGATCGGCTTTACTTGAAAGAACACAATAAATTCGAGTTAAGATGGTAAATATCGATTACACATGTAGACATTGTGTTTCACATGCTGTTTAGGATATTTTAAATATGTATTTTTTGGCCTGTGCAGCCATAAGTTTGTTTTTTCTTGATGGAAAAGAATTCATTTTTCAAATATCAGCCGGTGCATTATTTTCAGTTTATAGCCGGTGCATATATACCAAGATTCTGATAGCAACCGTAACTTAAGAAGATCGTGTTTTGTCCAATTTTTTTCAAATTTTCAAAATACATCTTTTCAAATAATTTTTATTATATCTACGTATTATTATAGATTGCCACATCTTTACATACCAAAATAAATACAATCTAACCTATAAATGACGAAAAGAAAACTTGGAGTAAATTGACTTGAGAATGTGTACAGGTTTCTGAAATTTTACTTTATTTAAATTTTTAGAAGGTTGTTCTACAAAATACATCTGGCATCATTTAAAGAAATTCCTTACTTGTTCAGTGCACAAGGATTTTTCCAAGACTTAATCGATTTGGGGTCACTTTTTGACAATTTTACCTCTTTTTCCAAGTGTCTCCAACATATTTATTTCAGCCGTACATATATTGAATAGAAACATTGAACGCTTTTTTGTTCTGATAGCAACCGTTTAGGTACTACACCGTGAATATGCATTTTTTCAACGACCCCATAGTCTATATAACTATAATAATATTTTCCCATTGCTTTTATAATTTCAGTGTAATATTCATCCCAAAATGATTGAAGAAGACTGCTTTTAAACTATATGTGAAAAAAATGTGTTTTAGAATTTTCAGAGATGCATGAACCTGCTATATTGAGGTTTGGATCTGTGTAAAAGTGCTTTATTTTCTTCTTACACTAAAATCTTTGGCAAGACATGATTTTTGTGTAAAAACAGACAAAATGTTTTTAAAATTGATTATTTCAGAAGTTTGTGTTTAATTTTTTCAATTTTTATACTTAGAAATGGCATTCTTTCAACATATGAGTCTTAGTGCAAAAAGGGCAATTTTCTATAATTTAGATGTAACACCACGAATAACTCTTAAATAAATGCGATTATATATATTTTTTTCTTAATCAAAATAAATGTAAATGTATATTCACAATAATATGTTTTCCTCGCTTTGGATTTTTTTTTTCATAGATTTACCCAAACAATCGAAATTAAACATTTACATGTATGAAAATTGACATAAGAATCTAAATCTAGTATGTATTGCATCATTAGTGTAGCGTATATGACCTTAAATTTTCAATTTTTTCTTTCCTTATATTTGTTTTCTTCATTTTCTATATAACTTATTAGCTTAATGTAAATTTATCTGAAGCTGATTTTGCTATAGCAGGGTCGGGCCGTAACCCAAACTTGACGTGACATTGCTGAAAAAAAATATCACGGTGACAATGGCGTTTTTGCATAGATATGTTTCATGTGAGTTAAATAATGTTTCAAATTGGACAAATTTCCCTTAAAAATTAACCCGAGTATGGCTCTTCCTTACCGTTAAATCAAGTTAAGATACAACCGCATCAGATAATACTGGGGATCTTAATGATCTTGCATTGTTAGTCGATATGTGTCGTGATGAAACTTTGAGTACGTTTAATTTGACATCTTTCTTATTCACTAGTTAGCCTTAAATGAAATATGAAGGTAAAGTCCATCGAAGATAAAAGTCCATTGAAAGAATATTAATTCGAAGCAGAGCAAACACTGGCCTTCAAAAACATCAGAGGTTGGATCAAATGCCATAGAGTAAGCCTAAAACAATGAAATATGAAGATCACGAACAGTAACCAAGCTCAACAGTCTATTGAAACAATACAAAGTTAGAGCAGAGAAAACACGTACCTCCAAAACATCAGAGGTGGGATCAGGTGCCATGGACATACAATATACATACTGCCAAATATATAGTGCCATTTTATAGGTTCACTATAAAATCAAATATATCTTATTAAAAACAAGACATTCATTTTAGAGCAGAAATTGTATTTTTTTTTTAATATTCGCCAGTAAGTAAAATGTGGCCCTTGGACTTAAAGTTTTTGGTTCTAAGCTCTACAGAGCCACATTCGCAAGTAAGCTTATAACTAATAGGTTGAAATTTTTCTGTCGTGTATCTTGCAATCTATAAACTTTTCTCATTTTCGAGTTTTTATCAAAAACAACTGAAAAATTTATCAACCAAACTTGACAGAGAGAATTCTTGGATAAATAAATTCATACGTTGATTCGATATCCTGGAAATACAATATACCATGTAGTCTTTCGCATCTAGCTGCTTCATATTTGGATATTTTAGCAAGAAAAAAAAATGATGACACTTGCAGACTAACAACTAAACTTTATGATAATTAAACGTGATAATTTCAACTTTTCTATCGTCAACTTCCCTTACTTGTGTAGCAGTATAATACATTGTATTACTAACTACATATGGGGTTTATGTCTCCCGGTTCATTTTATACACATGATATCATGTTCTTCGTACGAACAACTTGAAAAAAAAGAAGCAGACCACTGACAAATGATACAAAGTTATTTATTTTCTCAATACTTTGCAAATTCTTTGGCCGATACAATGAACTTGTTTGCGAGTACAATCTGTCCTTTAGTCGAATATTAACTGACGTCTTTCATTCAATTTGTATTAAAGATGTCAAAGGTTATTATTTTCATACTGAATTGACTAAGGATTACTCCGTTTATCCAATCATGACGAAGGGCATACGGGAGTGTGACTGATCGACAGGGAATGCCTACTTCTACATGGCAACTGATCCTATGTGTGATGTTTTCAGATGTCGGTGTTTTCTCTGCTAACAATTTGTATTTTTTCATAGAATTTCTAGGCATGATTACTTTTCGTTATCTTTTCACTTCATTGAAGTTTGTTCATATGAGGGGCCAAGTCAGTTGCTTCAGGGAAAAAATTTATAGACATCTATAGATAGCCAAGATAGGATTTTTATAGCTGTTATGCAAACATCCCTATGCAGGATAAATTCCTTCATAAATCACTTAAGTTAATCAATTAACATTATATAAATAGTGTATATCATTGAGGGACCGGAGTCAGCAAAATTCCAGTTGCCCAAGAGCAATCTTATTTCTCAAGGCAAAGCGTACGCATTGGAAATATTGTCACTGCGAATCGAATCTTCAATGAAATGTTAAACATATAAAACATACAGGAAAAGTCACTCAAATTATCTAATACTAAAACCTAAAAGCCCCTACATTGTAAGATTCGTCATCATGCACTTCTCGTGATCTTAATCTTTCCAAATTAATGCCATTTTAAGTGTAAATTTCATAAACTAATAATTATAAAAACACTTACGTTTTTCTGCTTTGACGAAAGCAAAAAAGACCCACGGAATCTTTTAAAATTAAGGATATTGCGACCTTTAAAGACAAGTACTAATCTTTATACTTTCATGTATTAATTTTCTTTGGCAGAAAGGTGAAGGTAATTTTTCAAAACAATTTGAATCATCTACCGTGAACAAGGCACTTGACCTTTCAACTCCTCCTAGTACAGGTACAAACAAACCAAGCTCACAGAATGCACTGAACCCTGCAATCTTATTATTTACCAACAGCTGGAGGTCGAATTTGCACATTTCTCCAACAGAGAAGACAAAAATAATGAATACGTCATATTATACGTCCAAAAACGTTGGTAGCCAAACTGGACCAACCAGCAACCAAACATGTAGAATCCATGTGGGAAATGACACGGAAATACACAGAGACAGAAATACACAACACAAGTCATCTGGAACAAAAAATGAATTAGAAGTAAGCACAAATCCTACTTACAACTTCCAGACTTTCAGTAAGGCAACCGAAAAAGTGGAAAAGGATATAGGTTTGATACCTGTGGACGTAAGCTCCAAGCACACTGACATCACAGAGGGAAGTGGAGATGTGGATTGACGTTACAAAATCAAGTGGAGAAACGATGTGACATTATACAGGAGAAAAGAGGGGGCACGTACTAACCTTACAAAGAAAATGGAAAAAAGACAATAGTCTTGTTCTTTTGTATAAATGATTAAATACAAAAATCATTATCTTTTTTAAACTATAAAAATGATTTTTCAAGGGTGATCTTAATTTAAGGTTGCTCTCTGTAAGATGATTCTGTTGAATATATGGTTGCGGAGGAGCAAAATTAAGTGTTTAAAGTTTTGTTTCAGATCAAGTACACAAAAAAGGAATGATATGTGTGAGTTAAAAAATAATAATAAATGCATGTACATGTATATATTTCATTTAATTGATCTTGATTAAATGGCACTGCCATTTAAAGAAAGTATTCATCATTTTTGTTAAGACCATAGTTCACCTTAAATGATATAGTTAAGTCGATTACATTCTAGTTATGCTCATCATCTGTATTGTTTAATGAAATGTTACGTTAATCATAAGTGACGTTTGTTTTAATATTTGTTTTAAATACAAAACGTCAGACTTTAATCTGAAGATTAATATTTATGTCTCCTGCAAAGAAGATAGAGATGAAAAAGGTGACAATAACGAACAGTGAAAAGAAGTCCAAAAACCCTATAAATAACACAAATCTGTGAACAGGGCATAAACCATAGACCCCAGGCCCCCGGAAGTTTCAGAGGTGGGATCAGAGACATAGGAACACTTAGCGTTGTGTCCATTTTTCGGGCTGGCCGTCTGTCAAATCCCGTCTCTCGTGAATCTTGAAATGTACTTTGATCTTGAACCTTTTCAATCCAAAATGTAATAAAGTTTCAAACAAATATTGACCCTTTCAGTTACACAAGGGCATTGAAGCTTTTTTTCATATCTTTAACTGTTAAATAATGTTGCATGAGACATAAGTGAAGATAATCATAATTTCGATCTATATATGGATTTCATGAATTTATTTTTACAGTTATAATTAAGAGGAACTGTTTTTACGAACAGTAACATTATCTTCATATTGATAATAATGAGATACACATGATAGTTTTGACAATTTTGCAAGAGGGATGCAAAAATTTTGCAAGATTTGTTGATCGTAGACACTAGTAGCACAATGTATTTTACCATTATTTGATAATCTAGCTTTTTAAAATACTATGTTCATGTCACATTAAGTTAAGATATAATTTAAACTTATAAACACAGATAATCAAAGATAACAAAACTCAACTCAACAAATGTTTGACCCCTAGGGTGAAAATGAAAAAAAAAGATACCTTATTGCACATCTACAAGACACCACCAATCATCTTCAAAAAATGATTAGGCTACTGCATAAATAATGTAAGAGGAGTTCTGGAAAACAGGGATTTTCTTTTGTATAAAAACCGTCATTTTTTGGACCCCATTTGGCCCCCAGGGTGAAAATGAAAATTCCGAAACCTTTTTGCATATCTACAGGACACCACCAATAATCTTCCAAAAGATGATATTGCTACTGCGTTAAATGTAAGAGGAGTTCTGGGAACCAGGTTATTGTAGAAAAGCATAATTTTTTACCCCCATTTGACCCCCAGTGTGAAAATAAATATCCGAAACCTTATTGCACATCTACAGGACACCAACAATCATCTTCCAAAAAATGATAAGGCTACTGCGTAAAGTGTAAGAGGAGTTCTAGGAACCAGGTTTTTGTAAAATAAACATCATTTTTGACCCCCGTTTTGCCCTCAGGGTAAAAATGAAAACCCCATAACCTTATTGCAGATCTACAGGACAGCATCCATCATATTCTAAAAGATTAATTGGTTACTGCTTAAAATAAAAGAGGGTTTTGAGAAAGATGAAAGTGTGAGTAACGGACGGACCAGGGTAACAACAGTATACCCACATTCTTTAGATTGATTGATTGTATGTAGTTTTACGTCCCATTCGAGAATTTTTCACTCATATAGAGACGTCACCATATACCGGTGAAGCGCTTCAAATTTTGACCTTTACTCGGCACTCAAGGCCATTGAGCAATGAGGGATCTTGATCATGCCAACGCCGCCTCGGTTTTTAAGGTCTCATCCGAAGGACCCGCAACTTTCACTTCAAAGTGCCGAGCGCATGGCGAAAGAACAGTTGCTACCCATTTTTTATCGACTTAGGTCAGTCGCGGCCGAGATTCGAACTCACGACCTCCCGATCACGGAGCGAGCGCCCTACCGACTGAACTACCGAGAACGGTATGCATTCTTTAGAAAGTGCGGGTATAAATAAATTAGCACAGACACTTTTCGTATGACGTCATAGTTAAGTAAGAGAATTCATGACTGTCTCATCTAGTGATAATTCACAACTGTAATAATAAGAACGACATGTAACTATTTTGAAGGAATGCAAAGTTGCTAAGAAATGTTCAGTTGATTACTAAATAGTACAATTTAATATCTTGATGATATGTTGTCTGGGTCATAGATCTGTTAAAGTTTGTGTTAAATGTTCGTAATATCTGTAATGAAATGATGTGCATTCGTTTTCATAATTTTTGTTAACTATTCATAAGATTTTTTTAAAGGATGGTATTAAATAATATTTCCATAAAATATTAAATTTTTAAATAAAAAAAAAAATATTTTTTGATAATTATTCACAATGAAAGACACACCAAAACATTCATTTATTAATTAAATCCTGTGTAAAAGCAAAAAGATCAACAAATTGATTAAAAAAAACATGTCTCTCATTCATTTGCGGGAAAGGTTTATATTTTAGTTACTTTTCGTAATTTCAGCATGTTCTTCATCATGTGTGGGAATGAAAACATTGTGACAAAGACTTTTGGAAAATATTTACAAATTTAGGGTGGCAGATCGACTAAAAAATCCCCTGAAAAACATTGAGCGCATTTGCCTATATTTCTTGAAATGTGGGTTTAATTCTTTTATGTCAATTGAAGAAAAAAATAATTCAATTTTGAATAATGATTTTAACTATAATTCAGTAAGAAGTCTCTAAACGAAGATGTTTGAAGAAGCATTTTGTGTGGAGAACTGTACAAGAGTATATTCAAAACTTGCAAAATTATTTTGTTTAAAAAACATTCTGATTGTACACACAAGTACTCTGAAGTTGATATTAAAAAGATGCTCGAGTATCTGATTGACAAAATCTATTTAGTTTTTGGAGATCAGGTCTTCCAACAATATGTTGGAATTCCCATAGGTACCAATTACGCCCCCTTATTAGCAGACCAATTTTTGTATTCATATGAAGCAGAGAGAAGAAAACACTTGCTGTGGCCTTCAACTCGACATTTAGATATATCAACAACGTATTATCAATTAACAATAGTTACTTCCATTCATATGTCATCCCGATATATTCTAGTGAGCATGAAATAAATGATACCATAGAGTCTGACACATCTGTTTCATATTAGGATATTTTACTAGAAAAAGACTTTAATGGTAATCTAACAACAAAGCTCTACGTATGAACAATTTTTAAAACGAGGCAAACTATTGACAAACAAGTTGATGAACCAAGGATATCAACAGTCTCATTTGAAGTCATTTTGCAAGTTTTATGGTCGATACAATGATCTTGTCAGCAAATAATCAAATGTCAACATATTAAGTCAAATTATGAAGGACATTTTTCATACTAATTGTTAGGCCATTATTTGCACACTGAATTGTCTACGGATTTTCCCGTTTTTTTCCGATCATGACAAAGAGCACACGGCGGGTATGACTGGTCGGCAGGGGATGCTCACTCCTCCATGGCACCTGACCCCACCTCTGATGTTTTTAGAGGTCTATGTTTGTTCTGCTCCCGATTTGTATTGTCTTAATAGACTTTGAGCTTGAATACTGTTCGTTATCTCCATACATGTATTTCAATCTAAAGTAATATAAAAAATATAAAATATGCATTAAAATGTGTGGTTAAAATAAGGTCTGAAAATGAAATCTTGCAACCCATATACATTTAAGATTTATTCAACAGATATCCCAAAACAATATATATATTTTACTATTTCACCATTTGCGAAACATGGATAGCCCCAAACAAGGAATTACTGAAACTCTTGAACACCAGGTGTCACATAGATCTAGTTACAAGCTGTGAAATAGACTTAAATCATACATTACTGTAAATATAACGACCATAACATTTATAATGATGTCGTAAAATTACTATATACAAGAACAATGACTATGTTAAACGATAGTAAATCATGATACAAATCACACATAGAAAACACAGAAATATAATGGATTATCACTGCTAACTTATAAATAAAGATTGTGTAATTATCTAAATTATGTAACTATTACTAAAGTATGAAATGTGTGACATTAGAAACCAGTAGATATAAGACAATGGCTATTAATCCAAGCCAACAAGAAAGAAAATTTAAATAGAATATTATGAAGAAATCTAACAAATACTGGTAATTCAAAATTTCCTAACAATCTAGCTACAGTAAGGTAGCTACAGTAAGGTAGCCCTGTATACCTTTTTCTCTGTAAATCTGCAAATTGTTACTGCTTCCTATACCACTACTTTTAAAATACCTTAAAAAAGTACATGTACAAGAATAACAAATGTAACTCAAAATGCTGCACATTTCTCATTCAAGCATCAGGAATATGAATTGACTATCACATATTTGCATGGTTCAACAAAGAACAGTAAAATACCCTTAAAAATTTGTCTCACTAAGAAATATCAGAAAAATATTTCATATTTCACTTTTTATCATTATAATACTTTAAGCCAACATCTAGCATTCAAGAAATTTGTAATTAATATACAGATTCAAAGACAAAAATTACAAAACCATCTTCACCACAACACTTCAAAAATTAAAAATACAATGAACATACAAAGGCCATGTATCCAAAATGCAATGGCTTCTTCGTATTTCAAAACTCAAGTTATAAGTTTTTATCAGGCAAATGCTTGTCAATTATCAGATATCCAGATCTTTCCATGTTTTTATGAAATCGATAGCCCTATTTGAAAAAAAATGCAGAAATGTTGTTTAAAATACAGAGTACAATGGTGTGAATGAAAATGGTGACACTAAACAGGGCATTCAGCAAAATATATATTTAAAAATGAAAAGTCCTTTACAGTGTACCATCCTCCATTCAAATTTTTTCCCCTCCAAAAAACAGAAATGGAATCTGGGCACACACACAAAAAACATTACATACTGGATGATCATACTTTCTGATTGTAAAATTGCCCCAAATACGTTATGTATTTAAGTTATTAATAATTATGACAAACTATGGTAAACGGCAACATCAAAAATGAGAGAGAAGTTGACATCACACATACGCTGTATACTGAAAATGTACTTTTTTCCACATTGGTACATGTGACAATATTTAAAACACAATTCTACTTTCAATTCTGAAGTATTTTTATGGATATACATGTACAATCTTCAGGTGGAAATTACAATCTTTTGTAATATCTGATTAATATTAACACAGAAAATTGCTTCAATTTTTCCTCACAACAAGTGCTTAAATACAAGAATTCATGAAGTTAACATAAGAAACTTATGGAAAATTTTCTTGGAAAAGTTTGCATGCCAAACTGTGATAAAAATTGTCCTGTGATTACTGGTTATTTCTTTGAGCAAATTGAATGAGTCATTTTCCTGGAATTCATTAGATAACCAGACCTCAAGACCTTTAATAACAGACTCATTTCAAAATATCAAATAAGTACAAGTTAAAAAAATAGAAAGAAAGAACTCTTCCTGTCTTTTTTTTTAAAATATGAATATTCTACAAACTTGTAACTTTTGAAAATATTTGCTTAATAAATAAAATGAAGATATTCAGACTATAAATTTTGACAAGTTTGCTCCCAGTTTATGATCTTGGGCAGGTGCTTTCATTTAATTGAAAAATTATTTTCAAGAACTTAAATAAAAAGGTTTTAAAATGCATATTTTCAATTTTCCTTCTGGAGATATAAAAAGAAACCAAAACATAGAGAAATTTTTTTGTCATTTTATTGCCTTAAGTTTATTATATGATCAGTCATAATAAACATTTCTCCTTTCTACTCCAACTGAAGAAAAACTGCAATCTTCATTTTCGACAGTAATTGTTTGTATTTTTGAGGCAAAAAACTCTTTGTTTATGTACATTTTTATTTATAGATGAATTTTTCTATCTGTAGAAAAACATCTTTTTCTTTAAGTGTACAAAGACCTAAATAATGAATAACATTTCAAGTAGTGTTTACTATTGTAAAAATGTCAACACAGAGAGTATATATTAATCACAATAACATCTGAAAGTGAATTAAATATATAAAATGTCACAGTCTATTGTTTTGTCTAATGATCAACCCAAACAGCCTGTTTTTATGCCCACTGTAGATAAACAATTGAATCCTTTTTTAATATTAAATGTTTTCACTTTTAATTTCTTGGTCCTCTTGATTTTAAAAAATTTAAGCTGCCCGTTGTTTGCCTAATTATGAATATTTATGTATTTTGTGGTTTCCAATAAATAGTTTATTAGATAATGCTATTACCAAGTGTTTCTCTATTTTGATTATAAGTATCAACCATGATGTTTCCTGAAAGTACTATTCATCACTGTCCTATTCTGTTTACACTATCAATTCATGATTGGGTGTAATTAAACCAGCATGGCTGTATATTTCAATTTTCATTCATGATGGCTTATAATAGTCATAAATAATGATTACTGTGTACTTTAATTCCTCACTCACTCTTTCCACTTAATTCTTCATATGAATTCATACTATGCAAGAAAATTGTATCTATAAAGCCAATGAAAAAAATGAGTAAAAATACTTTCATATCTAGTCAATTTTCACTTTTTCGGAAGCAATTACCGCATCTTGGGTGAAGAATGAATATCATATTCAAGTTAAATATACATTGTATTTTTTCAACAAATACATAACGTAATATTTTCTCAATTGGTCAGAAGAAAGAAAAAAAACAGTGTCTAAACAGAAAAGAAAGAAAATGACAAAAAAAAAAAATCATACAAGGAGTTAAACACACATTCCCTGTTTAATCCATCATTCGTAAAAATAATTAGTAAGTTACACTTCTTAATGCAATAGTAATGTGCAAACAAAGACATGTATGTCGATCTTTTGCAATTTACACAATATATTGTAAATATTGTGCACTTAATCTCTCCAGTCTTTTAAACAATATTCTGGGGGATGAAGTTCTATTTTATTTTGATTTAAGTGTCACCATCTCCCTTCTGTGTGGTCCCTCAGTTACACTCCATAGAAAAAGTACCTAGAGTTCACTACAAATTGTTTTCTGTCTTCATAAAAATAATTATCAGTATCTAACTTGAATTTAATGGAATTTATAAATTTTATAAATTGTTTTACATATACAAATTTTTCATTCAATAGTTTATTTTTCCAGAAATGCTCTATGTAACATTAATGGGGCTGTCCCCCCTCCCCATTAAGATTAAAAATAAAAAAAGAATGTTGCATTTCTTTTTGATAAAAACAAGGGAAAACCATTGTGAAGGGTTGGCTTTGTGACTATTAATATTTAAAAACTTATTATTTAGGGTAGCGGGTATCTTTATGTTAAATAATTGACAAAAGGACTAAATTCTTTAAGGTAAAAATCTGCCCCCCCCCCCCCCCCCCCCCAAAAAAAATAAATTTTGACCAAGGAAATCTTTAATTATGTTCTAAATCAGAGCCCTGTTTTACAAAAGAATTAAATTTATGACTAAGACCCAAAATATAACATAGTTCCAAAATCTCACCCAACTCATAATTTTAAGTGATTACACTTGAACAAAATCATAAAGAGGAATTCTTCTTTTTCAATTGAAAATCAGAAGTTAATCAACTAATGTAAGAAATAAAATAAATTGCTACAGTAGATGTTGGTTTTACTCGTAAATTCTTTTGTAAAATGGGCCCCTAGAGGATATCTGCAGATTTCAAAGCATTAAATATTTTCACCAACCATGCACAAGTTAGATATGATGTCATCAAAATGATTTAAAATCAAACGACTTTATCAAGAGAAAATCATGCATTTTACAGATATTTTTATTAGAATTTTAATAACTACAGCTCTGCTCAGACCCGATCTTTTGATATAATGTGTAGAATGATAATATCAATGAAATATGTGAATGTTGTATCTCAGCCAGTTTGCACTGTGTAAATACAACAGAATAGTCTAATGAAGAAATTTTGTCCATTTTGTACTCTCATAAAGATATATATACAAAAATTCAGTGAGTCTGTGATGTCATAGAGACAAAAACTGTCAAAAATCTACTACCAATCTATATTTTGCTAATTCAGACTTTTTTAAACAATATATTTTATACATTTGTGCACATTTCGAAAGATTATTTTTTTCTTCTAAATTTGACTTTTATGGAGGCAGAAAATGCTTTTACCATTCAAAGTTCTTTATTTCTTTCAAACTATCTGTGTTTTTTTTTTGTTTTTGTTTTAAGAAAATTTAATAATAAATATAACACACTTAGAGAAGCTGTGTTAATATTTGATGCAATAAATGAAATGATATTAAAAAAAAAATGAACAAATATTTGTTTTCATGACAAATGACACTGTCATAAGGTGCAAAATCCCCAATAGATTGGTATGCATGAAGTTGTAGAAATATGAAGTGATTCTTATTTTCACTTTCACATACTGTACTCTAAAACATATGTATGTGTAAACAACTGAAAACCCCTTGCTTAAAACTCATGAAGCAGAAGAAGATTTTTCAATTTAGAGATAATAGCACAAAGTATTCAAATAATTAAGAAAAAAAAATTACCAACTGAAGCCATGAAATATATTTATATAAATACATATATATATTTGACTGATAAACATCAAGTAAGTGTTTGTGTCACACAGTCGATTTCAGTTTCAACTCTTTCAGTCCATTTTCAAATTCACATAAATGTACCGTACAAAATGCAGTGATGCAAAGAAAGAGACTGTACCAAGCATCAGGAAGAAAACGTAACATGTCAGAAAGGTATAGCCAAAAAATTCAATAGTCTGTAAGGCACCCGACATATTAGACCGCTTGAAGTAGTAAAACAAAGCATACAGAAACACAAAAATACCAGTGGACCTGAAAAATAAAAATATTTTGATTAAATAAACCCACAATTTAAACATCTTGTTTTGTCCTCTCTCCATCCTAAATTTAAATGAGGTGGAAGGTAATAATTTTTTTTTTCAATATTAAATATTTTCCTCATAAGAACAAAAATGTTGAAACCCGATGCCTTGTAATTTTTCAACATTTAATACATATTCTTTTTTACTGCAGGTGATTAAGCATTGAAATGTAAATTTTTGATGTTCATAGAATTATAGCACAGAGGGCTGTGTTTACAACTTGTGCTTTAATTGTAATGTTATGAAGATCTGTCTTACAGCCATACATGTTATAACCCATTGAACATGAAAAATTTACAGTTAAATATCTATATCTTCATTTCATGGTAAATTGATTAAATATCACTTTAAATAAATTATGCCTGTTTAAATAATACACATCATACTTGTTTCGCTAAATTGAGTGAGTAACCATTTCTGTTCATTGACTTAAACATAAAAATTTATTTTCACGTAAGACCGAGCATTTGTACTATGTTCAACTATTCTGACATCATAATAAAAATCATTACTTTAAGCTTTAGACATCCCCATCTGGTTTACAGTATCATAATAATAGTAAAGCTTTCAACACTTTTTATGAGGAAAATGCATATATATCAATATGATCAAATACTCATACGTACATGTAGATATATTTTATGAAATTTTGTTGTCTCAAAATTTAAAGTCATAGTTTCAACAATCTTTGTACAATAATTTGAGGCTTCTCTTTAACTTAAAGCCCTTTTGTCCTTCTGAATGTCCAGAAAAATTCTGTTTGTTCAAAGCATAATCTCTGGGACTATAGAACATGTAGAATGGGGGAAAGTTTTAAACAGAAATTTTTATGAACCATAAAAAAAGGTAATAAAACTAGTAACTGAAGGCATAATATGGTTATCACATACCCTGCACTGAATATGGATCGCCACCACCATCGATAGTCCTCAGCAGACAGTTGAAAGTAGGTCAGTGCGATAGAGATACAGGCAGTGACTCCAATCAGAATGGCGTATACAATAAACAAAATCCCATACAAGGCATACTGCTCCCTGCCCCACAGAGTGGCAAATATGTAATACATCTCCACAGAAATTGCACTGCAATAAAACAAGTAAAGAAATGTTTCTTTCTCCTCATTTGTTCCTATATTACATTGTAACCTTAGTTCTTTAGAGGTTGGCTTAAGATCATATGCTCTAGTACACTAAATAATACTACGGACTTTTTCTAAGATGCAGTATTTATTTTATCTTGTATCAAGCTATAGTCACTGAAAATGACAATTTTACCTGAATGGCAAGAATCCTCCAACTACACAGTGAGCAAAAGCTGATCTATACCAGGGAACTTGTGGTATTTCACGTGCAATATTTTTAGTTCTACAGGGGGCATCAAATCCATGGGCCCAATTTTTACCTAAAATTCCACCTATCACAGTCAAGGGGTATCCAACTGAAATAAATATTGGTTCTCTGGCTATTACACATTTGTAAGTTCTTAGTAAAAAATGTTTAAAAAAATCAGAAATCAAAAAATATTTATGAAATTAATAATGTATTGCCTACAGTGATACATGCAAGTACTGTAACAAACATGTTGAATCTGAATCAAACTACTGATTGTTAACAATGCTCTTAAAGTCATACTTTGCAAAGAACTCCAAGTCAATGGATGGCTAGGACACATAAAAGGTACTGTGCATGCATTATCATCATCATCAACAACAAAATCTCTCTGCATCTTAATGACCCCCCTCCTTTCACTTCCCCCAATTACTTACCAAAGAGCCAAAGGCACATAAGTAACACCACTGTAGTCCATGGCAAAGCTTGAGTTGTTCCATATCCCCATGCCACAGAGTTAATCACTGCCCAAATAAGAAAGAAGGGCACTGGAAAAAAAAACAAGTATTTATTATGTAACCAAATCTCCCCATACAAATCCTTATCATGCAATTATTACTCTCCATAATGTCAATATGGTGATACAGGACCAGAAATCTGGCATTTTGAGGAGGTTTAACCCAAAAAGGGCAGAGGTCAGGTCAGGAGCTTGGAATACCAAGTTGAATCTTATTATAGTCATTAAAAATTCATCTTAAATCTGGGCAATTATTAGGTGCAAACATGAATTTCTACTGCTCCCAATATTTCCTTGCATGAGACTCAGTATGTTTTCTTACAAGTTTGACATTAGTTTTCTGTTCTGAAGAATAATAAGTGTTTGATCAAATGCACTTATTAACAGAACAATGATTCTGACATTTTCACACTGTTCTTCAGCAAAAATTTTTTTAAAGATTTTTCCCCTCTTTACTCCCTTGAAAAATTATGAACAAACATTGTGCTTACATGTAGCTCTAAGGGGTCTTGTTTGAATCCATATGAAATCAGGATGCTTTAGTTTTTTAAAATATGTCTATCATGGCCTTGCTGTTGTTCTAAAGAAAAAGATGTCTTTTTTTCCTTTATACATGCATTATGTAAAATTTGATCTCCAGTTTTAGCCCCATCCTAACCCCTGATTCCAAAATTTAAAAAAAAGGTAAAACTCAGGTATAAAGAACTCACATATAAGGAAAGCTTGGATATAAGGACTTTTTTATGAAACCTGTAGAAGTCATTGCACCATGTTCCTTATATGTTCCTTATACATGATAGCAAAAAAATGCATAATGGCCAACAGTAGTGATTCAGAGATCCCTCACTAGCCCCCAGCTCTGCAAGTCTGTGTGATTTACACACCAATAACTCACACAACACTTAAATCATTCCTTAAATAGATACATTCATGGAATATTGAACAAATGAAATGATGTTTAATGATGAATTAAAGATGTTGATGTAGTATAACACATCTAACACCACCTACAAAGTCATAATTTGAACAAATTAGAATTCACACTACTTGAGGATACTTGCATATTTATATGAGTATAATCATGGCCTACCTGTTCTTGAGAAAGAGATTTTCCACTCCATTTTGGGAATGGGGCTTAGCTGGGCCCTTGGAATTGGGAATTTAACGACATTTGATCACTCATTGGGAAATTATATTGCATTACAATTTTAAGGAATCGAAATAAACATAAATGATGAATAAATTTGATCTTTTATCTTACTATCAATCACAGATTAGATCTATCAACAAACTGTCAGTCATCAACAGGATCATGCTTCTTTAAATTTTAGTCATTCTATTGATTTCAGACCAATACCATGCTTGTTTTTCACATATTCTGGCTCAGTAAAGCTTGTTTTAGTTTTTGTGCATTTGAAGATTGAAAACACAGTTCATTTTTTTTTTGGGGGGGGGGGGGGGGAAGGGGGGGTATTTTGCAATTTGGAATGGGGTCTAAATTTGGTCCTACAAGGTGCAGTGGAAAATCCCTGTAAGAAGAAGAATTTAAAGATTCTTTTCCTTAATATTCAACCCCATGTTAAATTTTGATCCAAAATTATGGCCCAACTCTATCCCTAGGGGCATTATTTTAGCAAACTTGAATATGTACTATCTGAGGATGCTTGCATATTAAAATCACAAATCATAGCATTGCTGTTTTCCATTTTGTGAAAATTTTTTCCTATATATTCCCATGTAAAATTTTGATCTCTTAATGTGGCCCCACCCTACCCCATGGAGACCATGATTTAAACAGACTTAAAACTATATTATTTCAGGAAGATTTCACATAAGTTTTATTTTTCTGGCCTAGTAGTTCTTAAGAAGGGGTTTAAATGATCCCACATTTTTTGATGTTTCTTGATTACCTTCCCTGGAAAGGAGAATGATCCTTCATTTGAATAAATTTTACTTCCCTTTACCCAAGAATGCTTTGTGCCAGGTTTGGTTGAAATTGTCCCAGTGATTCTGGAGAAGAAGTCAAAAATGTGAAAAGTTAAAAGTAAGACAGAAGGACGATGGATTACTTTTGGTCAGAAAAATTCACCTGCATGAGCCCACAGTGTAGGTGAGCTAAAAGTTAATGGATAGGCAGAGGAAGGACAGAAAAGCTCACTTATTCTTTTGGCTCTAACAGGTGCACTATAAATGTCAAGGATTTTTTAAAGTGACATTTGATAACATATTTATTTCAATAACAAAGCAAAACCGTTTTTAGAGGACATTTATAAAAAAATATTATTCATAATCAACCAATCAATACTATCTTTATATCCTATTAAATAATTCAACCAACACTGCTATAGCACATAGGAAATATCTTGCGGTCATTATTCATCATGACACCGATGTCGGCCAACAGACTCTCCTCAACCAATTCTACACATATTCCTTGAGTCTTATTGGAAGAATAATAATCATTTTGGCAAAATGATTGACCTTGCAATTCCTGTAAAGTACTTAAGACATTTTCAGAAAAATTCATAAGTGAAAAAGAAGGCCTTTGATTTCTGCAATATTTATCAAAACATCTTCTATTACCTGTTCTTTAAATCACATTTTTATACATACTTGCAAACAGACAGGATGTTAGATTAATGTTCCACACCCAGCTCTCTCCTCCTAGTTTCTTGTAGGTATTGGTGGCTACATATCCTGCTATACCTGGAATTAAAAAAAAAACTTTATACAGAATCTAATCTAAATATGAAATGAAAACTAGAGGTACTGTGAGCACCAAGCTCACAAAATGATATCCCCGCTCCCATATGAGTATAATAGTAAAGTCCATTTTTTGCTATGGGAAAGCCCAAATATCTGTCTAATCAAAACATTAAGTAGGAGTTGCATAATGGCACTATGTAACATGTAATAAAGATTCTGTGAAAGTATAAGATTTTATTCAGTGGTATGGGTACCCCTGATAGTCATACATGTTTTATAAAAAGAATGGCAGTGTTGATGTTTTGCCAAAACCCAAAATATATGTCTGATAAAGAAGTGAAATAGGAGATTCACAATAGCACTATGTAACAAAGATTCTATGAAAGTCTCACTAAATTTTATTCAGTGATATAGGAGGAATTGCGGATAAGAGATGGGTACCCCTAAGTGTTATGGATGTACGGAAGGACTGATATATACCCCATCACTATATTCCTCTCTCTTTTCAAGTCAGGGGTATAATAAAATATAATTTAAATTTTACAAATGTAAAATTATTCAACATAATTACTATTTAAATTGGGAAGTTGTATATTCTTAATTCATATTTTAAAACAATGAAAACATGTAAATTAAAAATGGCCACGGATGACAGGTGGTTTTGCACATGAAAAAAGGAGTTAATTAAATTAGCCTATATACTAGACATAGAATAGGTGATGTACTTGCTTTACAGTCATATGGAATAAAATTTGTACTGCTGGAATGACACAAAAATAAGATTTATTTTAGGCCTAAAAAATTAATAACTTGGTTTTCAGGCCAGTTTTCTCAAAAATAAATGTGGGAGGGTGGCTTTCCCCCCCCCCCCCCCCCCCCCCCCCCCATTTTTACCTCATAAAAAAAAACAGACAGGAGATTTTTGATTTTTTTTTTAATTTCAAAACTAGCAACTTTTCAACAATAGTGCTTCAATATTGAGTGTAGAAATCAGGATCATTTATTTCATGCTTCTTTCTCTTTTCTCTTTCATTTTCTACATTCTGATGATTTGTGAGATGAAATGATGGCATTCTAACAACCATGCAGTCATATGTTAAACTTACAGAACTTGACACCACCTTTAGTGATGCATGTAGTCAATTGCTTATGTATCACAACTAATCCAAGAGTGTTTCAGCACTATAAATAGCGCTTATGATTTTATTTGTCAAATTTATCAGTTTTTGGTTTACCCACACTAAATGAAATCAGCAAATCTTGCTGAAGCTTTTCTGGAAATGTCCAAGTTCCGAGGTTGAGAGAGCCGTCATTGATAGCATTATTGAGTTCTAGCATGGAACAACCCTCAGAAACCCCCACTATGTGCCATGGAAATATTACAGTCATTTGCACTGAAATCAATGCAATCATGACCAAACTTAATCTTGACGCCTTAACCTGTTAACTCGACAGCGATATTTGTGATTTTTAACTAGGCCACTACTGTAGATTCCTTATTTTTCACGAGTACTTATTATCGCGAAATGGCTCTTAAGCATCAAATCCCGAGAACAATAATTCACGAGTAGACAGTTCATCAAGAGATTTTACATTGATTTCAGCACCATAAAAATAAAACTGAGTAATTTTATTTCACGAGTGGTGCTTCTCGCAAAATTACACGATAATTAATTCCTCATGTATATTTAAGAATCTACAGTAGTCTGGATCATCTTGATGTTTGTCAAATGTTTTAATGATGAGAGTATCTAAAATGCCGCTGAGGATGCCAGATTTTTTTTTGCACCGTACAAGCGTTTGATAGAAATTTTATTTTTAATTATTCATTTGAGGATAAAAATGGGTAATAAGCATTGTTAAATGAGATGCGGGCGGGTCTGAAAACCAAGTAATTAATTTTTTAAAGCCATAAGGTACACCTGTCAGTGACTTTGCTATGCCAATATCAGTGTTCTTATTTAATCTGTTGTATTTATTATACCCCGGCTTGAAAAGCAGGGGGTGTATAGTGATAGAGGTGTCTGTCCATCTGTCAGTATGTCCTAAGCTTTGGGGTACCAATCTCTTACATATACCTGCAATTCCTCTTATACCACTGAAAAAAATTTAAGGACACTTTCACAGAAATATTAGAACTTTAATATCTCAAACACAGCAAGCAGTTTTAGTTGAAAGTGGTTCAGCTGTTGAAAACACAAGAGTTTACAGAATACTGACAAATACGCAGACAAACAGATGGACCATGATTGGACAATTAAGGAGGAGAAGAACCTTGAGCTGAAAAAATACTTGTCATTCAATTTTTTTCATATTTTGTATATTTCTAATTAAGTATGTCCCACATATCTTAAAGCAGTTAAATCATTAGGTTTCTTACCTTATTTTGGAGATATTGATTGACAAATACTATGCCCTACAGTATCTAAGTGGAGTTTTAATTCTCCATGTTTCCGGGCGCATTACTCTGTCCATAATGGGATTTTTTAAGCATACATAAAAAATATCAAAGTGGACATGTATCTTTTAAAATATTTCAGAGTATAACTAGGATTTAAAATTTGAAAAAAGCAAGTTTTGTCTATCACACTGCATCTGGATAGGGAAAATAACGCACTTTTTAAGACAACTTAAACAATAAAAAACGTAATTTACAAAAAATTCTATCATTCAATATTTTTTAATTTACGTTGAAATGCAAATCCTTCAAATTATTGATTAACTGTAAAAGTTTCGAATGATGAAGCTGACCTCATTATTTCACAGGACATCGTTGAAGAGGACATAAGCATGACAAAAACGTGGCATGTTACATTTCTCGAGTACGGGAAAAACCAACTATGACGTCACACGTAAGCTAAATAAGCAAAATAAGATATACCTACATAAGATTTCTGTCATCAGCCATGCAAAAATAATTTTTGTGTTCCCCGTTTCTCAAAATATTTCATCATATACTGATTATGACCTGTTTTTACATAATAATACCGCCCCTCTGTTCACCGAGTATGATCTTGCTGTACTAACAAATCATGTATGACGTCACCGACTTGTTGGACGTGCAGTTTAGGGAAACAGAGGAGTGGATCAATCTTTTTCATAATTTGTTAATGTTTACAAGAATGTTAAAACTTTTTTATTTTTTTATATACCGGTAAGATGGTAATTAAAGTTAAAAAATTGTCAAAAAATTATACAAGAACTGATGCTTTACACGTTTTGCGCTTATATAAATGGAGACTATGACGTAGTTAAACAGAGTCATGTGACCATGTGTCCTTCATCCCCTTAAATTCTGATCAGAAAAGCTTTAGGATTCCACTCAAGTGAATTATTAAGACTTACAGGAAGTGAAGGCATATAGGACAATTCCAGCTGAGTTGATAGCCCCATGTCTGTGGACATTGAACATGCCAAGAACAGCCATCAGCATTATTCCAGTGGCCAAAGCTAAAAACTGGCTCCCTACACCTGAAAAAAAAAGACGTAAAACAGAGTTTTATTCATTTGTCATCTGGATCAAAGCTCCTTTTCACCTCTGAATTAGTGTATATGTATAATATACTCATTCAAAAAAAACAAAAACAAAAACCCAGATCACTTATGTATATAACACAGGGTATGTGTTCTTCTCCTGACAATTTACAGAATCTTCTATCTCATCTATTCTTTGTTGTATAGAGAATTCATTTAATGAGGAAATGTGGACTTGCTTCATATTTACAACAATATATTAACTTTACCCTTTTCCAACTGTTTAAAGACTTCTATATCAGAGATTACTCTCGTATAAATTCTTATCATTTAAAAAAAAAAAAAAAGAAAAAAAAAAAGAAAAAACAATATACAAATTAAACCTTTTTTTGAAGGGGTTGTGGAATGGGATATTGCAAAAGTTTAGCATCAATAATAATGAGCATTTATATTTTTAATTATTGAAATAGAATGACAAAATTCAGGACAAAGGAATTAATCTTTAACTGGATGCATGTCCACTCACTGCTCCCAAGAGAAAGATGGATTTACACTATCTGTTGTTTGATGCACTGTTAAGTCTGCATTTTTTTAGTACAATATAATTGGTTGCATTTTTTATAATATTAATGTTAAAAACATTTTTTTTAATCTGTATGAGAAAAAAGAAACAAACTGTGAAACTATGTCAACTTGATGCAACATATTTTAAAAAGGTTACTGCATACATATAACTCTTGCATTTGTAGGGACTATCTATCTTACAACTTTCATTTAATATGCTAGTATTTGATGATTTTTTAAAAGTTTAAATGACCTGATTTAAGCTGCAATTCACATTTTTCTACCAACTGTATGTACCAACTAGATGTACCAACTGGCAATTTCTTGATTCTGTATATCAAATTTACATTAACCCAAAATGACTTAAAATGAAAAAAAAAACCCTGACCACCTGTAGAATGAAGAACAATTACCCAATCATGAAAAAATATCAGGTGTATATCTTTATATGGAGAATAATAAGTGTACAAACTCTCAGACAAATCCATGCAGTAGTCTCCTAGAACAAATCCAGACAAAATCATGTGTAAGGACTGACGGACAGACAGATGGACTTGCTGATTCCAATATATCCCCCTAAACTTCATTTGTGGGGGCATAATAATGAGCAAAACTTGTGAAGCAGATATCAACACATATCATAAACTCTCTCATGTTTCTTCAAGGTCAGTTTAATTATCGCACCACATTTCTAGACTGTATTTTAATAAATCTTTCAAAATGAAAAATATTTTCACAGAAGATTCCACACCATTTCATGTGGGCATAACATTTTGTTTTTGTTTCAATCTCAAATGTCTATGTGACTAAGCGATAAAATAAACACAAAGACTGCATCACTTATGATTGCCACTAGATCAATAAAACAAAGATTAATTGTCCTTGAAGCAAAACAATAAAATTAATGTACAATGTTTACCCTGCAATTTAAATTGTGGGCAAAGAAAAATATTTTGACAAACATGGGCATTGTTTTCTACTGAGCAAAAGGCCCATGGGCCATGATGCTAGCTTAGGTCACACTGACAACTGTATCAAGACCCACACTGTGCTTTGAAGGACATAATTTCAGCAATTCCTATTCCAAGAGTATAGGATGATGCAATCATATCTATTGTCAAAGAAGTAATTGCTATATACAGGCCAATAGACTACTTCACTAAGGCGAGAGAAATTTAATTTTTCATTTTATGGATCCGCCGACCCAATTTAAAAAAAAAAAAATTATCTTTATAAATTAAAATCTACAAAACGTTTGACAATGAAAGCACTGAATGTGTAATTTTAAGTGTCTTATTCACATGGAATATTAACCAAAATGGAGACACAAGCCATGCTTGGTTTGGTTATCAGTGTTATTCTGAAGATATTTGTAAATCAAAAGCATCCTCAGCATTCAGAAATGTCCTAACTTATTTAAGCCCTACACTCTTAATGAGGCATTTGGTCAGTTACTTGCATTGCATTTCAACTAGGCCTCATTATAGAGAGTTATATTTCATTGATAGCATTTTGGTAAAGTATGTAGTAAGGCTTCTGTCATAATGAGTCCACCTCATGCACAGTCTTTAATTAATCTCTTTATTCTCTTTGGATTTAGTTTGATGGAATTTTGATATGAAGATCAGATTATCTAAGTTGTTAGGCATGTTTACTGCATATACATTACCTTAGACTTGTGAATAAAAGTAATTACTTGATTCACCCTGCCGTATTTACATGTAATTAAAATAATACATATTGTTTATTTTACTCCTTTATACATGGATGAAATATTTTGATCATTATATGGGTACTGCTTTTTGAAAATCATATTCTTTTCTTTTTTATTTTATTTTAGATGATCCTTTCTGTTCGCAAAAATAGCTAGTTTCCTGCATACACAGGTTCAATTTCTGATTTATTCCGTTCATACCCCAGGGCTTTCAAGAAGATTAGAAACAGTCAGTACTTTTACTGAAAATAGGAGGTACTTAGTGAAAGTGATTTTATCTAAATATTTTATCAAATTTTTCTCCATCAAATATTTTGGTCGGTACAATCATAATTTCAGCCGGGTAAAAGTACTGGGTACTGGCAGATTTTGAAAGGCCTGATATCCTACATTTTGTGTCTTCAAAAGTAATTTGTGTCTCCAGCTTGATAGCTAGTATATTACTAGTATATTACTCAGATGATAATAAGGCCCTAAAGACTAATGGTCTTTGAGAAATGTACCTATGCAGGTACTGGAAAGTGTTAGCTAAGATTTCATTATACAACCAATATTCTTTGAGTATCTGAAAACTTTGTCCATTTGTAAATTGGCATGTCCAATTAATTGACACTGGTATGTGATATTTTATGTCAATCTTTAATGTTTATGACAAGTTCCATGTGTCAACCAGCAACACAAATTTCAATGAATGGCAAAAGACATAAAAGTATGATCAAATTTTAATTGAATGATAAAAATTTCCTGTCTCTCTCTTTTTTTTTTCTCCTCCTACCCAAATTTTTTGAAAAAAAATCCGTAAAACTAAAAATTAAATTTCTCTCACCTAACCTGAGTCATACTGAACTTGTAGATCAATGAAATCCCTTATAGTCAGTGATATGAACTTCAAAAGTTTCTTTACTAAAGAAAGTCCTGACTCCCAAAATACAGTTATGAACTAATTATGGGGTGTATCTGCTCACAATCTTCGAATCTGTGAACATCCTTACCAGATACTTCTTGTACAATGTAAATACAAACAATATGGCCTGAATTACTTGAGAATTTCACAAATAGTGGATGACTGATAGCTATAGGACTAATAACACTCCATTCCACATATTTTCATTGTATTGTTGTGTAACAGTCCTTTAAACAATGTAGACATGCTAAACGTGCTAAACCGGTCAGAAATATTTTCGCTTTTCGTCCATAGACAGTAGACTAATTTACTATTCCAAGACAACACCCAAAAGTAAACATGGCATTCTTAGAAATGGAAAGTGTTTTCTGCAAAAAAATCTTTTGCATTGTTTAATGGGTAGAAAGGCATTACATTTGTTACCAAATATGGTGGACCACATTGTGAGAACCCAAAAGAAAATATGCAGAATGAAACCAATGTCAAAGGAAGCATGGAATAAAGCAAATTGGCTATTGATAGTGAAGAGTCTAATCTTCCTGTTGATGAAGACTTTGATAAAATTGGGGTTTTGACATTGTAGATGTTCCTACACAATAGAGAGGACTATGACTGTTTTGATAATTAAGCTGGAGAAAGACTCTGAATTGGATGTTGAAGGCATCGACATTGAGGATATTTACCAAGCCCCAGATTTCACCCATGGCAATATCCTGAAACACTTATGTTTTTCAATAAATTTTGCTCAGAAATAATTGAACTTTTGAATGATGGTAACAATGTAAGTAATGTTGATTATAATCATAATGATTGCAAAAGTTTGACTGCTTAATGTCCAGTAGTAAAGGAGATGATTCTCAACATAAAGTGCACTTTAAATATATGTCCAAGTTAGTCTCAACCTGGGGCTTGAACCCTGAACACTGGGCTCAGGAGTTTTATAATTTTGGTACAGAGGGCTCATTATTAGCTATATGTGAGTACTCATTTTAATCATGCAAGCATTTTGCCTCCTTGGTATCTAGGTGTAAAGAAGAGGACTTTCTATGATATAAATGAAAGCATTTTCAATATATATGTATGACTAACTTAGCCCTACTCTGGGTGTGAACCCAGAACCCCGGGTCATGAAATTATTCACTTTAAGAATGAGTTCATAGCTTCTTATAATCATTCCAACAGTTTGACTTCTTTATGTCCAGGATAATGAAAATTTTCTTAAACTATGTATACAATGCCACCATGTAATAAAAATTTCCTGAAATTGCTGAAAGTTTCATTAAATTGGATACAGTGGGGTAAGAGCAGTTGTTGATGGTGACCCCTAAGTGTTATGGATATATGGATGGAAGCACAAATATGTAAGGACATACAGACAGAAGGACAGACACCCCATTAATATTTATCTCCTACTTTTCATGGGGAAGGGGTATAAAAATAACGATCAACTACATTCACCCAAAGATGCTTTGTGGAAAGTTTGTTTAAAACGGTCCCATTTGCTCTGATCAAGATGTCAAAATTGGAAGAAGATCAAAATAAATCACTCAATTTTTTTCTTAAGTATACTAAAAAGCCAAAATATTACATCAAATGTGTAAAAGCTATTTAACAGGTTTGGTAGTCTATGAGAAGTTGAAAGCTCTGATTTCAACTATATTTTATACCTATGTCAGAACTAGTATTCAGGTAAATGTTAGAAGTCTAACTTCCTAAACAAGCCCTAAACAAGCCATGCCTACCTAATATTGCACAAAACAGATTTTTCTGTGGTGGAAATCTAAATACATCCGTGTGGATAATCTTCCATCCATTTTCATCTGAATCCAGATCCTCTCCATCCTCATCATCCACATTGTATCTGGCAAAGTCACTTTTTAAAACTCGAGTCTGAAAATTAAAGTTGAAATGGCAAGATATTGTAATCAAATGATGTATCACATCTGATCCACTCTCAATATATTTCTCTCAGTTTGTACCTGTTGTACATCCACTTGAAATACTATAGTTAAACAAGTATTCAAAACAGGAATTCTATTGGACAGGTAAAATAACTGCTATAGTTCACATCATTATCTATATTTGCTTCCTTCCCTAGCCCTCACAATTTTGAATTCTAGCTCTGTCACTTTTTCACCACTTCACATTTTCAACATTTCATTCTTGCTCCCTTACACTGTCTCCCTTATTATCTCCCAATGTCACCCTCCTTTTCTTATACTGTTGCCCTCATCTTCATTTTTCTCACATTGCTGCCCTCCCCTTCCTTTTTCTCACATTGTTGCCCTTCTCACATAGTTGCCCTCACCTTTTTCTCACATTATTGCCCTTGGCTTCCTTTAATCACATTGTTGACTACCCCTTCATATTCTCACATTGCTGCCCTCACCTTCCTTTAATCACCTTCGCCTTCCTTTAATCGCATTTTTGCCCTCCCATTCATTTTCTCCCATTGTTGCTCTCACCTTCTTTTTCTCACGTTGTTGTCCTCACCTTCTTTTTCTCACATTTTCCCTCGTCTTCCTTATATCGTATACTTAGTAGTGTATCAGCCCTGATACATATGTATTGGACTAGGTCGGACAGCATCTGGGACCTAGGGCTGTCTTGCCCTCAGGGCCCAGATATCTCTGTCTAGGCCAGTTGTCAAGGGGCTGTCTTGCCCTCAATTTTATACTGTTATTTCTATTTAATTTGTGCAAGATAGGAGTTAACTTTGTATTAAAGTTTTAAAAAAATATATGTTGTACACTAAAATTAGATATAAATTTTTAAAAATTATTTATTTATTGCGTAATATTGAGAAAAGTGGTTTTAAAAAGTGCTCCAAATGATGGTATTTGTGATGTACCAGAGGTAACTCTCGTTTACACGTCATATTTTGAGACGAAAAGGATGTTTATTTGCTTTGACTGTTAGACAATACCAAGTTTTCTCTCTAGTTGTCATTTTTCAGGTTAACATATATCTTAAGCAAAACAAACAGTTACTCTAAATCTCGAGCCTCATTTGTTGATCCCGCGCCGGTTGGATTCAAAGTGAAAGTATAGAGCTTAAGTTTTATGACCTTTTAATCTTTGTAATTTAATGGACTTTGGAAAGTAATATGTTTCAAAACACCTCTACTAATCTTTTTTAACGATAAAATCAGACAAATTCTTTCTCTATATCACCTTTGTCAAACAACATCTCTACCTACTTCAGTACTTGATGAACATCGAAAGCAAAGGAAGATAACTCTAATTTTATTTCTTGTGGCAAAATTTTACTTTATTTAAAATTACTTTAATATTTGTTCTTTTAATTGCCCTTGGTTTTAGATATAAGATATGAACAACATCACGCCACTGTTTTGATCTTGTCCCTGGTATCAGCTCTTGCATGGTCTTGGCCTGTATCCTCCGGGCTTGGGCTGATACCAACCTCTCGAGCTGATACCAAGGCCAATATCAAAACAGCAGCGTGATTAGGGCTGCAATGATTAATCAGCATGCATCTGAATCGCATTGCACAGCATTTGATTCAATTTTCAGTTCAAAAGCTTCAAATTAGGAATCAGTTCATGTTTATATTTTTTTCACAATTAACACGTTTTGGGTATTTTCTTAACAATTTACAACAGCAAATATCGCTGATGCTAGTACATGTATTCACATCTCCATAATTTGGAATAAAATCTCTCAAGCAAACATTATGTCCCGGCTCCCTCTGTGGAAATATTTTGGCCTGAAAGAAAAACTGAAATGCTGCGATAATAATTTGTTTCACAGAGATTAATTTTTAAGTCTCAAAATGCCACAGACTTGGTAAATCATTTGAAATGAATACAAAGCTGCTAGCGCTCTCAAGCGCTCGCAACTATGTTGGTCTTTTTTTACTGGAATATGCATGCTCGACTTCACGGTAGGGCATTCTGGGAATAGTACTGTAGGTAAACTGTACCATGTCAATTTCATTTTATCATGATCTGAGGTTTCTTGCTTTTTGTCTAATATGTACATAAATGTACAAAAAGTAACAGTATTGTAGATAAACTGTACCATGTCAATTTCGTTTTATCATCTGAAAATACATATGATCTGAAGTTTTGTGTTTTGTTGTCTAATATGCACATAAATGTACAAAAAGTAAAAGTAACTTTGGTCCTGGCCCAAGAATTGAAAATTGAATCCAACCGTGAGGTACCTGAACCATTGCAGCCCTAAGTGTGATGTTCCATATTTCTCACATTGTTGCCCTCACCTCCCTTTTCTCTCATTGTTGTACTCAACCTTCTCTTCTCAAACTGTTGCCTTCATTTCCTTGCATTCTCCTTGCTTTTTATGTGAAATAGCTAGGAAGCAAGTGGACCTGTTTGATTAGGTTACCATACTAGTCTGATAAACAACCAATAACTCAACAAACATATTTTCAAAAACATGCTTGTTTTTTTTTTTTTGTTTATTTGCACCTATCCAAGTAGTTTTAATTTTCAAGATGTTATAGAAAATGTGCTGAACATAAAAAGTAACTTAGCATGCTGACTATAAGTCTAATAGTACACTTAACTGCCTTTATCTACAGCTTTTAATTTGAATACTTTTTTGAATAACCACTCAAAGACTACTGTAAACGAACTTCTTTTAGTGTTCGCGTTCTCTTCTTGTCCAGTTATTCACATACACTTTACTAAATGATTAAAACTAATACATTTCATTTTTAAAACTCAAGTGCACTAATTTATTTTTATTGTGCTAATCAGACGATGAAGCTTGCACTAAATTTTGAGTTTGCTAATTTATATACATTCACAGTATTTCAGTTACAGAGTGAAGTCATTGATTATATATCTATCCTGTGCTTATCTAAGCAGAGGCTTGCATGGTTCTCTTCTTGCAACATCTTACATAGCACAAGTTCACAGCATCTCAACCCTTCATGTCTAACAGTGGAATTCAAACCCATCTTCTGGTGTGAATTGAGAACTCTTTTCTACCCACTGAATGGCATGGGCAAATTTAAACCAACGTCACAATGATCATTCAATTTAATAATAAATTCAATGCTGTAAACTTAGATATCATGTGGTGTTTTTGTGTTATTTTGTACCAAACCTTCCTCTCTGCTTTCCTCCAAATAAAGAAATGAAACATCGTTGAAAGAAAAGAAAATAAATTTCAATTTTGTGAATGCAAATTTTGCATTGTTAACTCCCACATGTATATCCATGTTTACAGCAGATTTAACTCCCACATGTATATCCATGTTTACAGCAGATCTAACTCCCACATGTATATCCATGCTTACAGCAGATTTAACTCCCTCATGTATATCCCATGTTTACAGCAGATTTAATGTTGAATTTCTGTCAGTTTACAGTAATAATTTTGGTTCTTACCAGAATGATGACTACAAAACCAATGAGAAGAAACACGAGCACCATGGAGTTAATGATGGACAACCAGTGGATCTGAAACATATTTTACATTGCAGTTATTTACAAAACATGACCATCAACTAAATAGTGTACAGATTCATTTTGAACATAAAACAAAAATATAAACTAGATTTAATGAAAATTATCCCCCCTTTGGTACATGTATATATATGCACTCTAATCTAGGCATATTTAAACACCACACAACTCCACTATACTGCAATACCCCGCAACCTTAACTAATAGATAAAATTCTTTTCATATTTATACATTTTCTAGTCAAAATTGTCATCTGATATGTATCAAACTTGGACTCATACTAGAGCTTAGACCATATGCCATGATTTTGAAAATTTTTGGTAGAGCACGGTGTAAATCTTAATAATGCAAACAGTTTTTATGATAAATTTCTTTGTGAAGAAAAGGATATATTCAAAGAAACAATGTATTTTCAATATATATGATCAACTTAACCCAACACTGCCCCCCCCCCCCCCCCAATACTGAAACTAGATCAATGAATTTCATAATTTTGCTAAAAGGTTTAAAAAAAAGTATTGTGATCATGAATATAGTTGACCTGCTATATGATCATAACAGAAGATTTTTTGTCATGTATAATGTATTTCTAATATATGGCCATCTTATCGCTACCCTGGGGCCTAAATGACTGACCCATGATTTTTTTTTATTTAAGCACAGAGCTAAATGTTTAACATAATCATACAAACTGTTTTTCTGCTAACTGTCCATGAGAGAAGAAGAAAATTTTTAATCATGTAAGGTAGTTTCAATGCTATTTGATGGACTTATCTCTACCCTGATGTCTAAACTCAAGGGGATATAAATTTCACAGGTTTATTGTTCATTATAATCATCAAACAGATAACATGCTTGATGTCAATTGGAGTAAAGATTTCCTAAAATATATTGCATTTTCAAAATATGACCAAGTGAGCTCCAATCTAGGGCTGAACCCTAAAATCAGAAGTTATAGAAGAAATATGAAGATAACAAATCAGTAATCAAGCTCAAAAATCCATTGGAACAATACAAATTGGATCAGAGCAAACACAGACCTCTAAAAACATATGAGGTGGGATCAGAAGCCATGGAGAAGTCCATGGCATTTCCTGTTTAACGGAGGAGTAAGCATCCCCTACTAACTCATCACACCCACAATGATCGGGCAAATGGAAAATCTGTAGACAATTCAGTATAAAAATAACGGCCTAACAATCTGTATATTAAAAAAAAAACATCAGTCAACATTAAATTTACGACAGACTATCATGATTTTGTTGTATTTGCAAACAAGGTCATTGTATCGACCACAGAATTTGTGGAATGTTGACTTTAAATGAGGCTGTTGATATCCTTGTATCATCAATTTATTTGTCAACAGCTTGCCTCATTTCCGAAATTGTTCGTATGTAGAACATGTGTATCAAATCAACTGGGAAACATAAACTCCCTATGCAGGTTATGATGGTAAACTGCTACATAAATAAGGGAAGCTGATGATAGAAATGATAGTCTTCATGTTTATCATAAAGTTTTGTTGGTAATTTGCCATTAATGACCTTTTGTAGTAATATATCCAATTTCTGAACCAATGTTTCAGACTCTGTGGTGTTTTATTTCAAGTTCAAATGGATATATCGAATCAACGTAGGAATAAAAATGAATATTGAAGATTGATAAAACATTGCCATATCTAAATGTCAAATTGAAGGCCACAGCAAGAGACCTCTTCTTTTCATATAGAAAATTTTGAATAATTTTTCTGCTTCATATGAATGCAAAAATAGGTCTGATAATTTTTAAGTTTTAAGATTTTATTTTTTAGTAAATGGATCTTTGCTCATTATATTTGACTGTCTGATGTCTATGAGTAAGATTTTCTGTTAATATTCTGCATTATATGATCAACTTAGCACCACCATGGCTTGAACTCTGAACCCTGCAATCATAAATTTCAAAATTTTAGTAAAGGGCACTTTGTTTATCATAATAATGTAAACAGTTTGACAGCTTGATTATCCAGAGGTAATTAAAAGGAATTTTTAAGATTGCATTTTTTTTTAAAGTATTGGCTTAATAGGTCCCAGGGAGTCAGACACCATGAAAAAATTTAATATATCTTTTTATTTTAAGAAAAAAATGGGGAGGGTGTGTGTGTATGGGAGAGGTCTGTCATTACACATGTAAATACAAAATACCATCAACTGTGGATATTTGACTTTGTAGCTGAACAGACTCTGAGATGAACTTGAGGTGTGCCCTATCAAAACACAATTCACACCTACTGCTCTATAACAAACGATAAACATAGGTAATCAAAGATTACGAAGCTCACCTCGACGAATGTTATCTACATGTAAGGCAAATTTCACATCATATTTTTTTTCTAGTTAGGGTACATCCCAAGATCAATATCCATGCAAGTTTGATTTAATTATAGATCTGCTCAAAAAACTTTTGACCTGTTTAGTAATCAAGAAAATTTTGGTCAGTTCCAACATCCAAAGCAAGTCTAGAAGTTTTCATCCTTAGATGCACCATCTATGCAAGTTTAATCATAACAGGCCATAATATTATAGAGCTACTCCAAAAAATTACCCTGGTCACTCATCTGGAAAATGTACGTCAGATTCAGAATCCAAGGCAAGTCTGGAAGTATCCATCCCTAGATACATCATCCATGCTAATTTGGTTAAAATATGGCTAAAATTCACTCATGTGGAAAATCTAGGTCAGATCCAGCATTCGAAGCAGGTTGGTTAGTGTACATCCCTAGATGCATCATCCATGAAAGTTTGGTCCAGGTAGGGCTTATAGTTACTTGGGAACGAGACTACTCCTAAATCTAAACCTGGTCTCACATGTGGAAAATCTAGGTCAGATCCAGCATCCGAAGCAAGTGTGGTAGTGTCCATCCCTGGATGCATCATCCATGCAAGTTTGGTCCAGGTAGGGCTTATAGTTACTTTGGAATGGACCTGCTCCTAAAACTTTAACCTGGTCACTCATCCGGAAAATCTAGGTCAGATCCAGCATCCGAAGCAAGTGTGGTAGTGTCCATCCTAAGATGCATCATCCATGCAAGTTTAGTCCAGGTAGGGCTTATAGTTACTTGGGAATGGACCTGCTCCTAAAACTTTAACCTGGTACACATCTGGAAAATCTACATCAGATCCAGCATCCGAAGTAAGTGTGGCCATGTCCATCCCTAGATGCATCATCCATGCAAGTTTGGTCCAGGTAGGGCTTATAGTTACTTGGGAATGGACCTGCTCCTAAAACTTTAACCTGGTCACTCATCCGGAAAATCTAGGTCAGATCCAGCATCCGAAGCAAGTGTGGTAGTGTCCATCCCTAGATGCATCATCCATGCAAGTTTGGTCCAGGTAGGGCTTATAGTTACTTGGGAATGGACCTGCTCCTAAAACTTTAACCTGGTCACTCATCTGGAAAATCTACATCAGATCCAGCATCCAAAGCAAGTGTGGTAGTGTCCATCCCTAGATGCATCATCCATGCAAGTTTGATCCAGGTAGGGCTTATAGTTACTTGGGAATGGACCTGCTCCTAAAACTTTAACCTGGTCACTCATCTGGAAAATCTAGGTCAGATCCAGCATCCGAAGCAAGTGTGGTAGTGTCCATCCCTAGATGCATCATCCATGCAAGTTTGGTCCAGGTAGGGCTTATAGTTACTTGGGAATGGGACTTGCTCCTAAAACTTTAACCTCGGACGCCGACGCTAACGCCGACGCCGACACCGACGCCGACGCCGGGGGTATAGCATAAGCTCATCTCGACTTCGTCGAGGTGAGCTAAAAAGGTATGCAAAACAATAACCCACCCAAATATACAAGTAACATATCTAGGTTATGAAAAACAAGAATGTTCCAACAAATAACTCCCACTGATATCATACACCTAATTAAAATGTTTCATCGTACTTATACAATTCTCATCTTTATTGTGTATTCTGCCACAGGTAACTATAAAGTAAAAAAAACTCTGTATAAACCCTTTTTAATTAAATAATGATAATAAGTTGTCTAATCTCTAGTGGCAGTCCATAATATTTCAATCTTTACAAACCTCCAAATATTTTGGGAAAAAACTGGTGTCTCTAACTCTCTTTCCACGCTCTTCAAAAGGTGTACTACAGTAAAAACAAAAACAAACATTTATGAAATGATCAAGTGTTTTGTTTGTTCTACAGTTCTAGCAGCTCTACTGGTTTGTACCTATAAGTTAAGTACCCGGTAAGAGAAAAATAGCACTTGGCCTTGAAAAAATGACAACAGCAATAAACAGAATAAGGACCCTTGGCTTAGTTTCTTTGTGACAAGTTTTATTGCAATCGGACTGAAACTGTAGGAGTAGCAGGCGTTCGAAAGAATTTCACAGAAACTATTTATAGTAACCATAGCAACACCATTCATCATAATCAGAAATCAATAACCAGAAAAAGCATCTCACATGTCTTAGTTATACTCTACTTCAGTAAGAAGTTTTAAAATTGAAATAAGACCAACCCTGTAGGAAGAGTAGTGTTTTAATAGAATTTCACAGAAATTTTTAGTAAGCATGGCAACATAATTTGTCAAAAAAAAAAAAGATTTCCATATTTAATACATATTGAAATTAGACCAAAACCAATCTGTATTAAATCAATAACCATGGCAACACCACTCATTAAATTCAGTCAAGGAATGAATTTAACAGCTACCCATTTTATATGGTATAAACTGGGTTGGGGCAGTTTACTCTTTATAAACTGCGAAAAAAAAAAACGTAAATTGTTCCAACCCAGTTTATACCATATAAATTGGGTAGCTATTAAATTCATCCCTTATAATTTAATTTTCATTCATTAAGTGTAAGAAAAAAAGATGATTGCCCTTAAAAATGACTTTAAATTGTACAAAATTTAAATGTAACATCAGGCGGATAGATACGTTTTTGACACGTCATTGTGACGTAGGCAACCTAATTTATACGATATAAAGTAAATTTTTTGTCCAATCAAATGGCGCGTTACAATCAGAATTAAATTATAAACCAATCAACAAATTTTACATATCATAATGAAGTCTACTAGTGTTCAAAGTTTTATTGAAATCAGTCTAAAACTATAGGAGGGGTAGCATTTTTGAAAAAATTTCAGACTTTCTCATTTCTAGTAACCATGGCAACATCATTTACTAAAACCAAAACCCCATAAGAAGAATAATGTTTGTCAGTGTAGTCTACCTGTGTACCAAGTTGTATTGAAACTGGACAAAAAATGTAGGAGGGGTAGTGTTTTGAAAAATTCTTTACAGACAGACCACAGACACCTTACTAAACAGCAGTTCTTTTGGTCTCAGACCAGTAAAAAGTCTTTAAACAAGAAGTCTGTGAGCAGTGCTCACAAGTAATACCCTCGCTCTGATGTAAATATAATTATGCTCTCATTTGAATATATTGGTACACACAAACACAGGGATCAACAGGAAGTCGAATTCATGCAAAAACGCTCCCTGTGGCAGGCCTAATCAAAGAGGGTGCTAAAATTTCAAATTCAATAAGTAAACTTTTAGTGAAATAAGTACATATGTACTTCCTATGTTTCTCCATTTAAAAAATTACAGACCTGTTATGAATTTTACACTTTTTATACCAGTGACCTTAAAGAAGAAGGTATGGTTTTAGCTTTATTGTGCCCTAAAAATTTAATGTTTTCAAAAAGTTTTGAACCTGGCTTAAATATTAGTTGAGTATATGACTGTAATAAATCAGGAAAGAATATAGCATGATGGAGTACCATTCTGGATATATGACGTCATTAATTTGATGCATTTCTCTATTTTAAACAGAAAAAGCCTCAAAATGACCCATTTCAAGGGTTATTTTCCTTAAGAAAATAGTGTCCACAGCCGTCGCCCACGTTAATTTTTAGATATGTTGTGTAAAATTCTTTGAAAAATCACATATCTCAAAATCTTTGTGGGCGATGCCTGTGGACAATATTATCTGAAAAGAAAATTCCATTGAAAATTGGTGTCTTCTGCAACTTCTAAAGAAAATACGGGAAAATGCACAAGTTTATGACGTCACAATTAGCATTTGGAAGGTCATGTGAGAAAAAAGATTTGTATGATCTTTCTGCATGGAATTTCAATAATTCAAAGAGCATGAGTTTTAATATTTTACATCACTTTTATTTTTAAGAAAAGCACAGGGCAAGATTTGTATTGAAACCGTACCTTGTTCTTTGCCACAAAGAACTTAGGTCAAGGTTATGACACATACTCAGGTCAAAAACAATCTCTGTACCAAGTATGAATTTCCGATGATTCTCCATTACAAAGTTATGGCCTTAACAAAAATTTTATGTTTTTTTCTGCCAGTGACCTTGAATAACCTGGAATGGCACTTGGTCAAGGTCATGCAACACCTTCAGGTCATAAACAATCTTTTTACCAAGTATAAGCTTCCAATATTTTCTATTACCTAGTTATAGCCCAGACAAGAATACAGTATACTTTTTCTGTCATTGACCTTGAACTTGCCAAAATGCATCAAGGTCATGACATATTCTGGGGTCATAAACAATATTTGTCCCATGTATGAGTTTCCAATGATTCTCCATTAAGTTATAGCCCAGATTAGATTGCACAGACAGACAAAATGATTCCTAAATACCCCACTAAACAGTACTTGCCCCAGTTTGTCACTAATCAACATTCTGACTAAACAAAACAATAGTGCTTGAGCACTATTAGAAACCCAATTGCCTTCCCTCTCACACTGGCCTCTCTTGTTTTTTGAAGAACATTTGATGTACTAAGATAAGCCATTTTTGTCTCTTTCTTTATCTAATATTTACAGCTCTATCAGATCATTAAAAACTATGAAAGTACTTTTGTATTATAAAAGATAAAAATTCTTGAACAATTCTCTTATTCAACTGAGCTTTCATTTACATTATTTACATTGATTAATTATCACAAGTGAATAGCTAAGGGAAATAACTTCTCTAGGTAGAATAAAAATTAACAGAGCCTCACCCTAGCACCAGAGAGCCTAGACCCAGGGGCCGAGAAATTTAAAATTTTGGAAGAGGTACTCTTGCTCATCATAACCATGCACAAGTATGTTTGCTAAATACCCAGGGACAGAAAAGAAGATTTTCAAAGAAATAATGCATTTTCACAATATATTCAACAGAACCCCACCCTAATACCAAAACCCCCGACCCAGGGCTATGATTTTCATAATTTTGGAAGGGTAGAAGATTCTTTGCTCATCACAACTATGCAATTAATTTGTCTTGCTGAATACCCAGGGGGCAGAGAAGATATTTAGAGAATTTATGCATTTTCAATATCTGATGTATAGAGCCCTGTCCTACCACCAGAACCCCTGACCCATGGGCCATGAAATTCTCAATCTTGGAAGAGGCACCCTTGCTCATCATAACAGGGCATGCCTTTAACAAAACCCCTATACCTCCATTCTCCCTTCTTTGAATTCCACACTCTCCTGAAACCTACTTTGTTTGAGTCCATTTTACACTATATGTGAAGGAGACTTCAAATGGGGCTGACACAGCATCAAGACTGACGGGGGCCTGTTCCTTTGTTGACACATTGGCAAAGATAATCTAAAAAAAAAAAAAACAAAAACATTAGAAACAAGAGGCTCATGGGCCACAATGCTCACCCCTCGTCATTCTCTTCCTGACTAAGATATCTACATGTACATATATGAACCCCCTTAATGTGGCCACCAAATTGACCAATTAAAAGTCCATGATTTCATCAATTTTAAATTGTTTGATGTTATATTTACAAAGTGTAGTCATGTTCTTGTCGATATTTATTTACTTGTATAGGTAACTCTAGATGGCACAATAAGACCCTCTAAGTGACTTGAGTGACCTAAATCATTTTTTGCAGCTCTGAATATTTACAGCAATTGATATTAATGTGCTCTTACTTTAGACTACAATTCTTACAGGCATCTAAATCTTTGGAACATAGGAATTAGGAATAAAGTCTTGCTTGTAAAAATTAACTTCTATTCATTTTCAAAAAATAGTCGACTGAATGGAAAAGAGTTGCAATACTGCAAGATCTGGAGTATCTTTTGACAAAATTTTTCAATTAGTGTGGAAATTTCTTTACCCGGACCATTGAAATCAAACCTGTTTCTTGTGATAAAATAAATAGTCGTTATATAAGTAAAGTTCACAATATATAAATAGTGCATGTTTTTGAGGGTAACAGTTGAAAATGACATCCCTCAGAAAACCATTGTCAACCTTCACTGACCCGTCTGTTGACAATGGTTTTCTTGGAGTGTTAATCTCAACTGTTACCCGCAAAAACATGCACTATTATATATTGTGAACTTAACATATATAACGAATTATGTTTATAACAAAGAAAAATTGTCCGTCTCTGGCACATCATCATAAGTGTGTTTTACTGTATCCATAGAATGTACCCAACAGGGTTCTCATTAACGCAAGAATCTGCGTCCTAGACGCAGTAAAATTCCTTGGGACGCAAGGTTCTTAAAAACGATGCGTCCGCGGACTCGTGATCGGACGCGTCCTCGTTAGCGAGAAAATTCGGGAGATTTCGAAAACGGGGAATTTAGATGTTAGGATTTGTCAAAGAAATATTTAATCGAAACCTTCATGTAACTATCATAAAGTTTATCCAAGAAACAACTTTTCTTGTACTTATTTCACTTTTTTTAAACAGGGATTGATCATAAGATATTTCATGTTTATTAGTCCAGTCATAATAGTGTCGCATGCCAAACTTAAAAAAAAAACACTTTTGAATCTTGAGTGTTATCTACATGCAGAAACCATAATTACTGCTTGTATACACAATGGGGCTTGATTATCTCGTGAATTTCACCCAGTGCAGACGACCGACAGGATTAGTTACGCCTCATTGCACATGACACCTGTGATTGTACACGGTCAACTTTTGGGTACTAGTTGATTATGCAACAGTTAATTTTAGCTTTATAAACACCAAGTTATTTCTATGGAAATTGATTACGCGTGTATTTTAGAATATGGCTTGAATGCATTACCAGTTTATATACTTGAATATGTTAATATTGCGTAAACAAACTGATAAAATGATAAAGATTTATATTGATGTTTGGATGGAAGAATACTGCAATATTTTAGTTGGGACTCAACATAATTTTTCTGGGACGCATCAAATTTAGCTGGGAAGCAACCTTCTCAGAAATCTTGAGTCCTGGGACTCAAGTTAGCAAAATCCTAGTGAGAACCCTGAGTCCCATATCTAATGCTTAATTCATTGCAGTCATCATATTCTGACCAATGGATTCTTTTTAACTGTACTGTTTCTTGATTACCTCCACCTGATAGAATGCATGACTCTTTATTTGAATAAACTTACAACCTTTCATCCAAGGTTCACTGTGAAATTGGCCCAATGATTCTGAACAAGATGATGAAAACGTAGAATGTCTACAGATAACTAGCTGTAGAAAGCTTGCAGAGAACAAACAAAACACAAGACAAAAGTTGATCAGACACTAAACTGCAAGATTCGCCGGCTCTGACATTTTCCTGGCACGTAAAATATCAAAATCGTGAAAAAAGCCAGATATTTAGGACCAATCAGACACTTGAGCTAATAACCCAAGTAAGCAAGTTTTTGTTCAACTTTTAAAAAATCAAATTCTGCTTCCTTTTACTTTTATATAATTTTTCAAAGAAATGACTATTAATCCTCAATATTGGTACATGTAAGTTATTAAGAAGCAATAACTTTTGTACAAACCTGGTCACCATTGTATTCAATATGAAAACTAAGGTGTGCCCAGAGGAATACTTTGTGGTTGTGTGGCAGAAATCCTCCCTCCTCCAAGTGCCCAATGAAACCTCTCACTGGAATTTCATCTACAATTATACAGTACACATTTCAATTTCTTTCATTAAAAAAAATGTACTGCAATTTTTACCATGTATTAAATATCTACAGCAAAAAAAATGTAATCTCAGTTAAAAGTAAAAATCTGTATATGTGTCAAAATTTCTCCTTAAAGTAAACGTGGAAATTTCCACGTGGGGGAAATAACCTTAATATGTGATAAAAAAAGATTTTGTGTAAATATCCCCTCAAATATTAATGCATGTATTAAACTATATACATTTTATTTGGTTTTAACAATAAGTAATTCTGGTATCACAAAAATAACCTAATAATGTGCTTGTTACTAATTCAAGTAATTAACAACATGCAAATATAAATATCCAGATTTACAGTTTTGTTTCGACAGTTTAAGATGCACTGCAGAAACAACTCAATCAAGCTGATTCAAATTCTTTATCACTATCCTAGTCTATATCTTTATTACCAATAACAAATTCAAAGTAGTATAGATCTTCAATGGCATCTCTCAAAAGCTGTAGGTCATTCTCTTTGAAGGTCACTTTACACAACTCTTTTTTGTCTGCATTCTCTGCAAGGCAAAAGAAATGAAACATTACAACATGCCAACCACAATACAAAAGTGTCTATAAGATTACACAATAAATATATAGAAAAACTTTGGGTGACCCCACTCAACTCCTACACACACCAAATCTAAAGAATAGCAGAGAGTGAAGCAAAGAACCAGCTGACTTTGGACCTGATTGCTTGCTTAAAATTTCTGAACTGAGTAACCATTTCTAGAGTACACGGAGTTAACTTGTATAATCAATGTTCTAGCATTGCAGTTGTAATCATTTATGACATGATAGTTGAATACCGGTACTCGGTCTAGGGATATTTTTCTCTAGCAAATCTAAAAATGAATAGAAAGTATTGGCATTATAATATCAAATAAATAAATAATAATTAAGGAATGTTTTTAAGTTTTGTGTGAGTTATTGGTGTGTAAATCACACAGACTTGTCACGTAGGCATATTTCATGAAGTGCGCTAGCGCTTCATGAAAAATATGCCTACGTGCAAGTCTGTGTGATTTACACACCAATAATTCACACTAAACTGAAAAACATTCCTTATATTTATATTTTACAAGTTCAAAAGCAACAATATTATGCTCAATATTTTGAATTTCTTGCTGCCCTATGTCGTTACATTTTTATTAACATCTCTGTAGCCTCATTGTGACGTCACTTTACTGAGAGTTTCACCGTGTATATTTCTACGCGTGAGTATACACAAAAATGAACTTCAAATCAATTACACAGCTGGCTTAGTAGAAAAACATAGCAAATGTAAATATATAAACTTGAAATTTAGGCTTATTTTTCAAGGCACATATACCTTGGTAATTCTCTCTTAAGTCCATCAATCAATATTTGCATGTTGTAATTCAAACAAACATCTTAATTTAAAGGATTCTTAACCCTAAATTCATCAGTAAGAGAGTCAGATCCAATATCATGGCTTACAAAAATCAAAAATCATGCAATGCGTGGCAAAGGAGGAAAAAAATCTCAGATCTGCCAATCCAGTGTTATTAATTAGTCCCTGCAAAGTCTAGCTTTCAATAATCCAAACTGACAGATTGATGAGCGATTAAGTCTGACTAATCAGCTTAACCAGAAGTATCCGCCAATAAATCATAAAATATATCCTTGTTGATTAGCAGGTACCTGGATGAAGAGATGGGCTGAGGATTTACATTTTCAATCTGAGAAGTCAGGAAATCAATGTCCGCTCCCTCAATTGAACTTCCATGAATCAAATAAATTAGCAGTTAGTTTATTTATCCACTATTTTTCTTTTTTCATTATTGATATCCTAATAGTCATAGTCAATCAAGTACTAGTTAGTGGTTATACATCTTTTTTTTTTATTAAATAATTATCTTATTTGAAAATCCATTATTATTATGTTTGACCGAGAGACATCTCGACATGGACGAGGTTAGTGCTTCCAGTTTGAATTAGGGGGTTCTCATTATTGTCCCATCTCAATCACGCTGTGACAAAATAAGCCCCACACAGAACTGAAAATATGTAGTTAAATATTATTGGTGTTTTTGCATTCTGCATGGTCTTTTAATTGCATAAACGAAAATTAAGTGGGAATCCAACCTCACCGATAATTCATTTTACTATAAAACCTTTAAGTTATTTCTCTCCTGATTCATCACTCCTGGTACTAATTGTGTGTCGTACGTGAAATAATGTCATTCGTGAATGAATAAGCCTGAATGCTAAAAGCACAATCAACTTACGCTGATCATAATAATTAACCCATATATATGGCTAATACTTATTAATTTAAACTAACTGCTTTTACTGAGTTTAAAGATCATTTTAATTTTGATACTACATGATACATGTATTTTACTGTAATAGTTATATATAAAGCTGCATTAATTTGGACACAAAAATGTGACCCACTATTTCATTTACACACTCTGTGACTTACAGTAAAAAATATTCAAGCTACAATTAGTATTTAATTTACATCTTTGCCTATCAGTTTATTTTTTTTTTTTTACAGAAGTTGCAATTTTTCCATAGCAACCTACAATTTCAGTTGCATCTACAAGACTCATGTCATCTTTTACTGGCACAAGTATATAGCATCAATTTGATTGCTTGATTTCTTTACTCAAACTAAAAGAATTTTCTCTTTATTCCTGAAATAAAGGCGGGGATAACTGCACTTTACCGGTGTAGCATAATATTTTGATACCGCGTTATATCGAACCCGGTTCAATATATCGCATAATATTTTGAACCCGGGTTCATTTTTTCACTGCGATATAATGAACCCCCTTATAAAATATTGAACCCGGTGGGTTCAAGATATTATGACCATAAAATATTGAGTTCCCTACCCTTTTATTTTAAGAGGGAGGGGGGTTCAAGATATTACCACAAAATATTGAGGACCCTATTGTATGTATGGGATGAATTATTGAATCTAGTCAGATTTTAATGGTCAGATAAATGGTGGTTGGCTGATATATACTGTTCATCTTTTTGTTTCTTTCAATTTTACCATTCTTGGACATAACATGAATAAGAAAAGACAAATTCCATTTCATTATAAATTAATTTATGGCTGGTACACTGTAATAGTTAAATAAATAAATATAAACACCCCAAACATTTAAAAAAATAATCTTTTCTCTAACGTCTTTCTACTCAATCACAAGACTGTCCTACGCACAATAAATACACGTCTCCACAAAGTCTTTTTTCTCTGATGCCAAAGCAGGCATGGTGACACCATCTTAAACAAGAGTAGCACTGGATTTGCTTCTTGTAGTTTGCTGTACAGAATGGAAGGTCGCATGCGAGGCTCCTTTTGTCTAATTTCCCACGAGTGAGAAGCTCCCCACGGACATAGGCTCTGTATAGGCCTCAACATGACACAGCCGCATGACTTGGGGGAAGATGTAGGATAAAATGGTTGCTGAATTCTACAAATCATTTAAAATGACTGTATAAGATACCTTGTAAATTTTAATATTTAACAAAAATTATTGTACCCATACAAACTAAAGGGAAATAATCTATGAGAAATGTATAAATACTATTTCAATGTACTTATAATTAAAATTTAAATTATGTTGTGCAAAGTAGCTGCATGCATACATACAATGCATTGTCAAAGAAGAATTATAGAATTCATATTTCTATATACATACCGTTGTGTTGACTGGCCATTCTCGTCTGTCTGGTGGACTTCCCAGGAAATTTACCAGATCTCTGTACTCTGAGACCTCCATCTCCTCTTGAAGACCACGTTGGAAATGATTGCATTTGATTTGATTAGTTTGATTTTAACATCAGAATGATGTATGTAACCTACACACCCCTCAAACTGGACTACTCAATTTGTACACTCTCTATAAACACTGTATAGTGATAATACAGAAACCATCAAGGGGAAACAATAGACATTTGGTATTGTTGACCTCCAGTGACACCTCCCTGTGTACACACAATACACAGGTACTATATCCCTGTTACCTCCTCAATGGAGAGATACCACATGGCTCCTTGAATTTTCTTTTTTCAAATTGTAAATTATACAAAAAAAAAAAAAAAAATTAAATTAAAGAAAATAAATAAATACCTTATGGGATGGAATAAAAGACAAAGAAATAAATATCTCATAATTGTTTTTCCATCAGACATATCAAGTTATTTTAGTTATTTGATATAGAATATTTGGGGTTTGATGGTAAAAGATAATTATTTTTAATTTCCTGGTGACAATTTCAGACTTCAATATTTTGGTTATATTATTTTACTCTCACTTCTTTAGGTATTGCACAGTTATTAAAAAAAAATTTAAAATAGAGATACCCAACCCTTGAGATCTAACAAATAAATCAAAGTGAGTGTGTGGGAGACAGGTGTTAAATACTTTCACTTCCTTTTCCATAGTAGTCTTTAAATGGAGGTTCAATACTTCACAGCCACAATATTTTTAACCCCTTATAAAACGTTGTGGGGTTGAACATTTCACTGCCATAATATCTTGAACCCTCTCTTACCATTCAAAAATTATTTTAGGTCAATAATTTTTAAACACCCTCCTATACACATATATGTCTAATAGGGGGTACAACATTTTACAGCCATAAATCCTAGCTTAAAACCTCCACCCCAACCTACCAAAAAAAAAAAAAGAAAAAAAAAAGAGGTACAACATTTCAATGCCATAATCTCAGAAACCCCTATGCTATGATGGAAACAGAGAATGTCTGTAGTGGGGTTCAAAATATTATGGCCATAATGCTATAATATAATGAACCCGGGGTTCAAAATATCATGGCCATAATGCTATAATATATTGAACCCGGGGTTCAAAATATTATGGCCCTAAGCCTATATATATATATTGAACCCGGGGTTCAAAATATTATGGCCCTAAGACTATAATATATTGAACCCCGGGTTCAAAATATTATGGCCATAATATTTTGAACCCTGGGATCAATATTTTATAGATGGGTTCAATATTTCGCAGCAATATTTTGAACCCGGGTTCAAAATATCGCGGGGTTCAGTAAATTATATGACACCGGTATGTACAAATAACATGGAAAGAGCATGTGCTCGTTCTTTATTAGAGAATCACGCGTCAGCATGATGATTTCGCTAAAAAGGCAATAAAATGCAAAAAATATTCTGTCTTTTTTTATTGCTCGTCATTTTTTATGTTAATAAACTTCGTTTAATTAACGAAGTTATTAATTAAAACTGAAAGCACTTTAAAAAAAACCCATTCTCTTTCATTCCGTGAGCCATATTATAAAGTCATGACGTTGTTAAGCACATGACTTATTTCAATGCTATGATTGGTCACGGTATATGACATAAAATAGAGTTTGACAGTTGCGCTAAATGTAAACAGTGAATCAGCTGATTGTAGTACTAAGTCTTTTGTTTACAATGATTTATATGAGATATGCCATGAACGGAAATTTTTAATCGATTGGTCACAAAATTTTGGACTAAAAATTCTTGGAAATGT